TATTTATGAGAAGCGAATGTTTAAAGAGAATCATATCCCCTGCAAGATGCAATTTTAATTATTCCCGGTAACTTTTATGATTCTGAACATCAACTAAAGTCAATCATTAAAAATGTCCCGTGTTATTATTCATTTTTACGATAGAAACAAAAAAAAATCGAAATTTCGTGTCTGCGATAATTTTTTCTCATTCGTCCGTTCAATCAAACATTTAAATCATTAATAAGTCATTAAATAATCGGCCTAATTAAAATTATTCTATCTACTCATTTGTCACAATTCCAATCGATAAATTACTCACCCAAAATGAATTCCATTTTATTTCCCAATATTTCATATATTTAATACCCGCAATAAATCAAATCCCCAAAAAATCCCAAATTTCCAAGTCTCCGAAATTTCCCATAAATCATCAATAAATTTATTAACGAAAGGTGAATGTTAAAAAATTTCCCTCGTAGAAAAAAAAAAGAATTTCAATTCGGAATTTATTAAATTCACCGATTAAAAATGCTTACAACATTGTAAAAAAGTGGTCATACATCGTGAATTGAAGGGGGATCATTATCATCCTGACATTTTAAAATAACCCTCTCCCCCGAAAAAAAAATCCCGTCTCTTTAATCCCCAGGAAAGAGAAAGAGACTTGAATTGACGATGGGCGTGGATAAAAACCTTGGGATGCAGCGCAAAGTGGTCTTGAGGTAATTGATGCACCGAATCGTTGAACGAGGTACCGAAAAGTCTTTCGCAATGATTTTCTTTTCCATTCGTCTGCCGGACATCTCCCAGAGAAATCCAAAACAATAAAAAAAAAAAATTATCCGGCCAAGGGCAGTCACGCTCGTCTCAAAACTCTTCCCTTCTCAAAATATCCCATCTAAAGGTGTTTACCCCCCCCCCCCCTCCCTTTTTTTCTAGATTGCACTCGTTGTTTTCGAGGCCCTTGTACTTGATGGACAGATGAAAGTTTAATTAGCGAAAAATCCACGGGGAGTTCAAAACTGGCGCATCGCATTTGCGCAATCCATTTGTGAACCTTTTATTTCGTGAAAGGTATTGATGGTGAAAATCAGGTGCAATTGACGCTTCAATTATCCTTATTATCAGCAGACCGTGTAATTAAACGATGAGAATAAGTACGGGAGACATCAGTTTGTTAAATGTTTTTATCGGTTATTTCGCTCGACCTCTGCTCGACCTTCAATCGACCGCCAGGAATTTAGCTCAGTCGAGAGAGCACCCGATGCATAATCGGAAGGTCCCGGGTTCAAATCCCGCTCTGGACTATCCATTTTTTCAGTAATTTTTCTCGTCAAAATTATATCGAGAATTATCCGGTTCCCCTTCCTACCTAATCCAAATCCTATCCAATGACTCCTTTGACGTCACAAAAATGTAGAACGCTATACAAATTTTCCGTCTACTATGTAGCCCCTTCGCTTGAGCTCTATAATTTCCCTTTCGAAAATTTCCGGTACAATCCATTTGAAAAAGAATTAAGTATTGATTGTAGGCGGGAAATTGGCGCGTAGTCAAACTGATGTCGGTTCGAATCACGGATGGCCGAGTTGATTCAAGTCGATTCTTCATCTTAAAAAGTGTCTTCTCTAAATAAACCACTTTGCATATTGTTATGCCCCAGAATTTGGTCAATTGCGTTATTGTTGAATAAATGGACTCACAGCATTGTCAGCGTGACACTTGCCACCATAACTGAATTATGCTGACCAAGTAATGACATACAAACAATTATGTATTTAAGCGGCTGTTTGGGTATGCAAAGAGGCAGATCCAAATCAAGCTCCGACATGTGTTAATCGTAATCATTGTAATCAGCCAGATGACATAGTTAAAGTAATAAACTCCGATATTTAAATACCTATAAACTATTGGTGGAATTTATCCCTTCTAGCCTAGAACCTACAATAAATATAAATACCCCCCACGCAGGGTATAACAATACCATATTGATTTGGAATTCATTGAGTCCAAGTCATTCTTGACTTGAATCAAGCCGAAAATTGACTGCGATAATCACTTCGTCGTAAATCAGCAAGAACTCAAGCCCAGATCAAATTCGACAGGATTCTTTTTAAGTCATCGACGCTTGAGATGAGTCAACTCGAGAGATAATTCGATTCAAGTCAAACCAAGTAAAATCGGCAACTTGATTCACTTTTTGATTCACGCCATCGCTAATTTGAAAAGAGTCAAGGCACAAGAAAATTCAATTCGACACGAATCAATTCACACCCACTACTTGATTAAAAACTTTCCCGTACTCTAGCATGTGACAGCTCGACTCGATTTTCCTCACCAAAGATTCATCACAAAATGACCCACAACTTCACTTCAATTATTGAATTGAATGAAATAAATCCATTCTGATCGCATCGATACCCCAAAGATCGAATGAATCGTGTCTCGAATAAGACCACGAGGATAATTACAATAAGAATCCCATCGTGATGACGAAGAAATGATGCAATTCCATATCTCCGAATAGATATTGATTCGTGATTCATTTGTGGCCCCTCTGGACATCCCTGAAAACCTCACGACTCTCACTATTTTCCTCTAATTCCCTCACGAAATCGGGATTAAACCACAACTCAATCGAGATTAAATTGAATCGCTGAAATAACGACACGATTTTTCATTTATTTCAATGAAATCCCAATTTATCTTCACCCCCCTCTCCACCTGCCCAATGATTTATTAAATTATTCATTATCATCGAGGGAATTTAATAAGTATCGACCAGAAGAGGAAGAAAAAAAAAGATCGTTAAAAATATTACAAAATTGCATTACCAATGTGAAAATGTAAGATCATGTCCAGTTAATTGGAATATCAATTCGATTTAATATCACGGATTTTAATGACTTTTTCGGGAGGGGGGATAGGGGGGCAGGTATCGCAATTGTCAATAATATATCGCTCGGCATGCGATCTGGAGATGCCAATGGCCTCGACGATCCGCTCGGTTATTTGAGCTTCGATCGATCGATTTAACGGCATTTCGAAAGCGAAATTAAACCCACTTTTACACTCTCGTAATATATATATATTTATCGAGAGGGAGATGTTAAACCATCATAATACCTTCATTGTTTTTTTTTAAACTACAAAAAAGGAATAACTTACGACTTTTATCCATTAACACGTCCCACACATTTTCGTTATTAACATTTTCCCTGGAATTCAATTTTTTCAACCGCATCTATCAATTTATCTAAAAACTTTTTAATTTTTTTTTTCGTATAGTTCAATGAAAAATTCATTTTCATTGGCCATTTGGTTTATCGTGCATAAATATTCAGTTATTGTTAATTATTCTGTAGTTAATGAAAATTAATTGCTCATTAGTAGCAAATGAACTATTTACTTCAATAAAAATAAATATATTTATCCAAGTGAATAATATTTTGAAGTGAAACTTCAGCGGAGTTAGTGAAATGAAAAATCGTCACGAAAATGGGAGCGGAAGTGACGCAATCAACGTTACGGTGCATTTTTTCATTTATCGTTTTATTTTTTTTATTTAACAATTGATTTGATCTATGAGAGATTCACGAAATAATTAATTCAATACAACGAAATCCTTCTTCTTGAAAAAAATTAGATATTTCAAATGGGAATGCGTCCAGTAAAAAAATGTTTATTCCGTCCAAACGAATAATAAAAAAAAGTGAAATTTATTTTGAGTGAATGACGAGATAAAAATCAATCGATTGTCGAAATTCGACCGTGATTTTAATTACAGTCTTGTTATTGTCTGGTTATTGTTTCAGGACGGAATGAGCTGACGATTGGTTCCCCGTCAAATCGAACGATTGATTGTTTACCGATGCATTTCAGGGTGGATTACATGTCATTAATGATTGAAATCACGAGACCTTGAGAGTTAAATTGAAAAACGAGTGGGCGATCAATCGTTGTGTGTCTAATATTGCCCGGGGCAATTGTCGTAGTCGAATGAATTGAAGCATCACGTCAAATAGACAGGAAGAATATTCATGCAATTGTTATCGACTGACTAGAAAGCTTTCATGCTTGAAGCATCAAACATAATCCCAATAATAAAATCCATAATTCAATGGAGAACGAAAAGTGCCTGTAAGGATTCCAATCGGATTCTACTGTTGTTTCACCGAAATCGATTTATCTGAAAAACTATTAACTCTGGGAGGAAATATCAAAAGACCTTTTCTCTCGGGAATTGAATGATCTACAAAAAATTACTTCAAGGTTTTTACGGTATATCAATAGTTATCGAGATAGTGGGTAATAATGAAGAATGTTCTGCTGTTGGAAGCGAGATAAATCGAATCGCTTCGTTAAAATACCGATTTATCGAAAAATTATTGATTTGTAGAACATCGAATGTTTTTTTATTCAGGAAATTAACACGCTACCAATAAGTTTTTCAATGTTCCCGCGTAAAATTGAGAGGATTCGGGATAAATTAAATTATTTGGTATAAATTCCACAAGATGACAAAATTCAAAAATTAAATGAGTTTTTAATCGAATGTAGCTGCCTCAAACGATTGAATGAATGAGGAGTAAGCGAGGTAGACTTTCGAGATGTCAATAGTCTCGATGTTTGTCCTTTTTAGGGGTTTTGACAGGATTCGAGATAAATTAAATTACTTGGTCAAAATTCCACAAAATGACAGGAATTTTATTTTTTTTTTTTTACAAAAATACATTTTTTAATAAACACATCGGAAGTTATACTATAAAATTAGAATAATTTGTCCTAGTGTAAAAATGTGCGCTAAAATGTTGAAAAAATAGATTGAAAAATAAAAAATGTAAATAACGCGATATCATGAAATTGCGGTAAAGACGCTTCCTGGTGTAATGCATCTCGACGTTTAGTACACATGTACCACCCACGTGAAAATGGTGCCGCGAGCGAGAATCGAAACGATCGATAGGTCGAGGCGTAGGCCCGTTAGTATCAGAGCCCCCGGAAAACACTCGGGCTTTTGTTAGCAAATCCCGGTGCAATCGTGTATGTGAAAACAAGAATCTACAGCCTCGTGAGGAATACACACGACGAGATGACGGTGGAACAGGGCGTGGTCGTTTATGTAAGCCCGCGATACACATACTCTCTCGTTATTTTTGCCATTCACCCAAAAAAAAAATATATATATTTTCTCCATTCAATCTGGAGCGACTACTTGATATGATCATTTCAACTCGAATTTAATTGAATTAAGTCGAGAGCATACCGATTTCAAGGAGATTTAGTTAGCTTCATTCAATTATGTTATAAATTCACTTGAATCAAACTGAAAATCTTCTAATTTCCAGTGGATTTTATCGACTCTATTTAACTTGGAATTATTACCTGATATGCCTTGACTTGAATCAAGCTGAAATTCTATTAATTTTCAGGGAAATTATACGATCTTTTATCTAATTTTAACAATTTTAGGTTAAGGATTCGATAGAAATCTGGCTAGGCTCATAATGTCCTAGTGTAATGTCCTAATGTAAATAGAGTCTTCCTGATCACCAATTCGTCCAGGGTGTGAGGTCTAAGTGTTTCGTTATTTGCTGTGACCTGTTGCAACCGATCGCCTGTTTGTATTAACGCCGAAAAAATGTCCAATAATTTCGAACGAGCTTTGACGACTTGAGTCAACTTGGAATTATCACTTGATTGATATCATTGGATTGAATTGAATCAAGTTGAGAATTTACTCATTTCGAGTAGATTTTGTTAACTTGATTTCATTCTTTTGGGTTTCGGGGATTCCCCTCTGATTCAAAATTCACTCTTCTAGAGTTTTTATATTTCTGGATTTAGGAAATATTTATTTCTTTGTTGCTGAGGGATCTTTCCTTTATATTATAACAAAAAAGAAGGGAAAATCCCAAAAGAACTTTATCATTGCGGGTTTTTCCCAAAATACATCTGGTGATCAGAGAGGGTCAAGAAAGAAAAATCCAGGGGTTAAGGGTGGAAGGAGAAATTATAGTGCCCTCTGGAGAGGAGTTTAATGTGGGCCTCACTAGTAATGTTTTAGTTAGTTCGTTGTAAGTCTTCGTTCAGTAAAGTACCAGTTGACTATCTAGAGTCTTATAATTTTTAGTAATAATTCTCAGTCCTAAAATACTCCAAGTGTTTATTTATTTCGATCTCCATAATCTAATAAATTCGTATGGTAATAGAGTACATTTTTTTCCTTGCAATACTTTTCGGGTACTTACTAATACGAGACCGAATGCGCGCTACAATTGTATTGCGCTGTAATTAAAAAAATCATGATTGACAATTCAGAAATTAAATGAGTTTTTAATCGAATTTAGCTGCCTCAGACGATTGAATGCATGAGGAGTAAGCGAGACAGACTTTTGAGATGTCGATAATCTCGATGTTTGTCCTTTTAATAATAGAGAATTGATTATTATAAATGACTGGCTCTCAGTGGCATTCGAAAATTTTTATTTTCTTTTTCAGAGAACAAAAATGTGAAAATAATTAAATCAAGTAAATGAACGAATTTGAATCAAGCCGCGCCAATTACTAGAATCAAGCAACTTTTCTTTGAATATTTTTTATTATTTTATCAAACTCATTATCTCATTATTCCTCATATCAACCTTCTGACATTTCGATTATCTTCGATTATCAAATCCTAGGTGAAGATGAAGGGACTGATTCACATTGATTTGACACCAATAATTAAACAATTAAATTTTTTTCCGCGAGTGTCTCATTACGCGATGTAATCTGCGAAAAAAAAAATGATGGAAACGAGAGTTTAATAATCTTCAGAGAAAAATTCCATAGCGAGCGCAATTGACTTCCTTTTTCAAGGCTAAAATCAATTTTTTAGGACAAACGAAATTCCACAAGGAGTGAGAAATATTTTTAGTCAGTGTATCAGCGATTGATTGAAATATAATAACAATTTAAATGGAGTGAATTACTGGACGCGATCGTGGAATGCACGTTGATAATTTCAATGGGCAGTTGAGCAGATCGTCGATTGCAATAACACGCGAAAGGAAAAATCGTGGGAATTATTCAACGAGGGAATAATATCTTGTTGGATGATACAATGCGTGGGCAACCGTGATGCATCACAATAAATTGTACGAAGGTGTCGATCGGAAGCAATAACTCAGTAAAAAAAAATTGTTACGATTGCATAAATCATCGCTTCTTCTGAATACAATTATCTTGCAAGGGCGATTCATCCTTCGTCAACATCATTTGTCTATCTACTGCGCATTATTTTTTTTCTCCCATTATTATTTAAGAAAAACTATCTGTTGTAAGTTGAAATAAATCAACTAAAATAACTCATTGTCAATTAAAAATTCTCGGAACAACGGAATTCCTCAAATAGCTGCTCAAACTTTAAATACATCATTCAAATTTTTATAAACAATTTACGCGTCTGATGAAATAAAAAGTTAATTGCAATTTCTTGAATTCTCACTTATAATATCACGAGAGACTCGAAATTATCGACTATTTCCCGATTGGTTCGTTGCAAATAGATAAACGTGTCAAGTTTTCCAGGTGAAAATGATTTTTCTGGAAAATCCGATTAATTTCAAAACTCGAGTTCAAATTTCAGACGATAGAATCGCACCACGAGATGATGTCTATATCCAAAAAATGAGAAAACATATTTTAAACAAAAGAGATTTTAAAAAATGAGATTGATATTTCATTCAATGAACCCCACCATTAAATTCAATCTGTCAATTTCAATCAGCGGTTAACATGATCCAACAATTTTTCCTTTCACGTATATTGGTAAGAGACAAAATATTCGGGAAATATTCCGTAGTAATACCCCAAGACCTTCAAAAATATCTGATTCATTTTCAAGGTCGAGGGGTATTTATCTGGATTATTTTTTTCATTCCAATTTCAAGGAATTAAATGTCTGGCATTTCACGTCATATGGTATAAGTAAAACAATTTTATTAGGAAATCTCAATTTTCAATTTTTATAATTAGACAGTTTTGGGGTTTGAAACGCGTACAAATTGTTTATCGGATATTTTCATTGTTTAGCAACAAACAGGGAGATATTCGAAAAATATCCGAAGTAAAACCGTTTTACTTGTACCGCGTGACAGGAAATGCCACCATTTGATTGGTTGAAATTGGGATGAAAAAAATAATCAGTATTAATAATCAGTCCAATTCTCGATTAATGGAAATTGTAATTGAATTTACGACCCAATCGTTCAGTTCAATTTAATTGAATTTTCCCCCATATGCTATAATTCAAGATAACTGATTTTTAATTAACAAAGTGCGGATGAATTTACTGCAAATTGGTGAAGCTTTTTCATTTTCAATTTCATTTTCCTTGAAATATCGAGAGTAATTATTTCAATTTTTATAATATTTAAATGAAATTTCTCCATTTGCAATAATTCAAGACGTCAACTGATTTTTAATAATTCAAACACCGGCAAATTTCTTGTAGTTTATTAAATTATTAACTGATCTAAAAAATATTTATTGTGATCCACCGAAAGTGGGAATGCTTGACAGAATATCCGCATTGGCAATAAAAAATTTTAAATCAATTAGAGAATTTTTATTTCAATACAAAATTAATCTAAACAAATTAATGATCTAGCCTGTTGTATTTATTAGAGTTTAATTCCAATTTTAAATAATGAAAATAATATATAAAATTTTAAAAATTCTTGTGTCAATATCTAGTCATATATACATGCAGACCACTGGTATATATGTACCAACGCTATAGAATTAACCGCTATTATGCATAAATTAATAACAAAAAATCGTTTCGTCATATTAATTGTCCTGTACATATAGAAAAAAAAATAAACATATTGGATTATATGACTTATTATTGAGAATATTTTACTCATTAAGATTATTGGTACAAAAACGAATCGGAGTGGAGAGAGCCGGAGTGTTACTATAAACATAAACAATGACTTCATAAGGAGAATGAACTGAGAGTTCTTTGTTAATAGATGATAATATTCTTTTGGTCTTTTTGGTTTTTTGGTGACCGGTATTTAATCTACTCCAGCAGTCTGTAGAGTACAGACGTCACTTCCTCGTGTCATAGTAATAATAAAATAAAGTAAAGTTCAATTTCCTGTGTTTTTCTTATAATTATTTCTTGACCCATTTCCATTAAGGTTGTTGTCGCGTAGAATTTTTTTTCGACAGTTTTCGTTAACAATTTTATGGTGAATAGTTTGAAAAATTAGCAACAAAATGAGCCTTTTCCGTTTGCAATTGACCGTTTTGAACTTGAGATATAAATTCTTGAAATTCGAGTGATTTAACACGTGTTTAAATGGAGTTTTGCCGATTAGAATTTTTTAAAAATCAACGGCTCGACAGTTTCAGAAATAAAAAAAACGTGGAATATACATCGTGGGAGGAAATACAAAAAAAAAAATCAAATCGATTGACCGTTTGGTTTACGGAATATAATTATCGGAAATTCATAAATTTATATAATTGAAAATAGTTAATATGGAAAATATATAGTTATGCTTTAGCTATCCATGCACAATGCAATCAATCAAGTGAGACTATATACCGCTAAAAGATTGTGTTCTAAACTGGCCCGTTTTACAGCGGATAAACTTTTTACAGAGACTGTCGCGCGACAACCACCTTAAAACAAAATCTGAAAACCGTCAGTGATTGTCGTAGATCTACAGATACTACATAATTGATAAAAAAAATGTATGTATTTTTTATAACTTTTGTTGAAATATTGAGTTAACATAAACTATTTATCTTAAGCAACTCAATATTTATATAAACAAAAACCAATCGATGTAAGTGGAGTCAGAGAGGCCCAAACATAAATACAGTTTTCCTAGGAAGAAAGAAAGAACAGAGGATTCTTTCTTCTTCATATTGGTGACTAATTTCTCTTGCCTTTGCATACTCATAATTAAAGTTAGTCTTCTAGAGTTCACCAGAGAGTAAAGAAAGTCCTTCCTCGTGACATTGAAATAAAAGTATATTTGAGTGACAATTACATTCAACTGCGTTTTTCTTTATTATTTAATCCTCCCATTTCCAATAACATTTTTTTAGATAGCGTATGCAAATACAACGCTAAATGTCCAGAAATACTCGGAATAAAGGAAATTAAAAGGAAGAAGTAGAAACTCTTTTCTCACAAAACGTTAATGAAAATCGAATAAAGAGACTTTTTATTATCAAACGAATGACTTTAGTAGATGTAATTTTTCTTCTCAATGTATTAATTCTCTCGAATCCCCGCGGAATTCCTGAATACATTAGCAAAATAATCCAAGCCTTTCTCAACGACACACCATATACCAGCAAATATCTCCTAGGAGTAAAAGATAGTAACGGATTAGATATTAGTGGGTGTGTTTAACTCTCAATACGGGTGTGCGACCATGCGTTGAAATGAAAGGAGAGTCTCCCTAAAAAAATAAAAATAAAAATAAAAAACCATCAATTTTTTATTAATTCCCCGTATTGACGGTGCAAAAGTCATTTGGCGTGTCAAATTCCATGAAAAAAAAATCCTAACGAAGAATCCCATTAGTAATTACGATGCAATAAAATGCCCCAACTGTTAATAAGGAAATGAAAATCCAATGACTTCAGCCTGATGCAATTGAAATTAATGAAATGAGAATTAAATAAATACCAAATTGAATCAAGTGTTTTGTACTTAATTGAATTTGATGGAAGGTATTTCAATTTCGATAATGAGAAATAGCAATTGCCGTGTTGTATACACAGACAGAAAACTCCAACACCAGAATAATCATCCGGTAAATCCAGTCTCACATCAAGTTTCCTGGTGTTAAAACGATAACTCATAATGAGTCCATTTTCCTTTTACTTCAACACCGTCAAACCAGAAAAACTTTTCATTTCGATAAAATTTCCACTCCCGTCTTATTTAGGTTTTTCCTTCCTTTTTCTTTCTCTCTTCTTTTATTTTTAATCCTCACTTTTTCTAGGATCAACTTTCCACGACGTTTATAAATCATTACCCCGATGAGAAAAATTTCCTCAACGGGAGGATTTCAGGTGATAAACAATTCATCTATTATTTATGTTTATTTATTTCCAACAAATGGGCATTCTTTGGATATTATTATATAAGTTTTAAATCATCTCTATTTAATCAAAATCAAAATTTCATTATTCATATATCTTCTTTTCGTAATTTGTTAACATAATCTTCATTATCTATAATTATTACTCTGTGATATAATGAAAATCCTACGGGATAAAATAGTGATTTAATAATTCAGTTAACATCAACTTTAGATTTTCATTTATTCAATTTGTTCATGGCAATTTTTGTATTAATTATTTCAACGCTTTTGTGAAAATGATAACTGGAATCGTGAGATATTTTCATTTCATTTTTTTATCTCGCTTTCTAAAACACTGGGGATTGATTTCCCGAAACCGAGAGGGGACTCCTTGATTAGCTAAGGCGAGTTTTTTTTTATTTTCTTTTTTTTTTTAACCAAGTTTCAACGAAACGGTTGGCAATAATGTTCGATGGTGCGTAGAGGAAACGGTTGCTTCATCGGGAATCGCTCGACTTGACTTGTCATGTTGGAAGTAATCGACACAAGAATTTTTTCCTTTCTTTTTTCATTTAAATCTGTCAATTGGGCCCCACCGTTCTGATAATTGCATCGATAGCCGCCGACTCCACGTAATGATGATATCACAAGGATTCGTATATTCTGTTATAAGAGTCATTTATATCCATGATTTCAATTCTGAGGTATTATCGTTAGAATTGTCTAATTAAAATTGTCATAAATAAATTAATAAGAAAATTTCCCCAACAACTGTTCCCAAAAATATCGAAATGATAGGTTTCCTCATCCAATTTTGAGAAATATCTCTTAATCTGAAGGAGATAGCAAAATGAACTCTGAACTTATTCTGTAGAAAAAATCTAGATTAACAAAAAAGGTCATACAAAAAATCCGCTATGTCCTTCTGATTCTGAGATATTAATCAAAAACCAGTCAGTAAGCCAACTAAATTAACTTGTCACCTTCACCTCATTTTTTAATTCCTCTAATACCGAAATTTAATTTAATTGCCATTATTAAACGCACAATCATTACCTGCAAACGACAATTAACAGTTAAATTCACTGGTACCAACACACCTGCGCCGCGGGATTGCGCACAAGTTGAATAACTACCAACTACTCAAGTCCAATTCTCATGAAGATAAATCATTTCTTCAACAATTTTGAATATTTGATTGTAAAAACCTCGATGAAATGAATTAAAAATCGAAAAAAATACCGTCCCCTCCAAAAATATGAATATCAATATTTTAATTGATCAATAAAAATTACTATAATTTTTTTTATGAGAAAAAAAATTTCGCATTTCCCCTAGGTGAGAAGATGGGGATAAATTCCGATCTGAAGACTTCGCAAAGCATTGAGTGCCCCCTCCAAACAATTTGCGGGTGGAATAACGCTGGAGAATCAATGAACAAGAACAGTAACAGTTCAATTGTTGGGAGAATTAATTAATTGGCACTCGATCCCAAATTATTCTAGCACATGATAAGATGGATAAAAGCGATGGAAACGTCGACAAAGCGGTGGTAATAGGTAAATTCCCTTTTTTTTGTAATAATATAATTGTTTGGAGGGACGAGGTTATGGGGTAATGAATATTTTAATAATTTTCAGATGATGACAGAAGTGAAGAGTCCGTCGAAGTGGAGCCGGAGAAAGAAAAAATCAGTGGGGACGAGGAAACTGAGAAAATTTATGTACTTCATCCTGATTCTGAGGTACTTTTCCAAGTTTAGATGTTTTTTATTTACAAAACTCGAAAATTAAATCCATCTTTTCAGTTTTCAATCTCAATTTATCCATTCTAGTGATTCGTATTGGATTAAACATTTGTTCTTATCATTCGAAAACTATCGATTTGAAGTGAAAATAGTTAATCGATCTTGTGGTATTTTCTCCTAAAATCAATTGTTTTTTTAAACAATCTGTATTGTTAAACTGCAAAATTCAACTTGCCAGTTTGGGCGAGTCTAATATTTATTGGATTTAGTGTATTTATTCCGAAAACTATTGATTTTAGGGGGAAATGATGGAAAACTTTTTAATGACTAATTAAAAAGAAAATATTAACATTTTCTTTTACAATCAAGAGTTTTCGGGACGATTGATATTGAACTGTGTTAGATGCAAGAAAATTGAAGAAAAATGTAATGCCCTCAACGAATTTCAAGGCGCCAATTTTTTTATACATTTATCTCCCGCAAAGATACTCCTGTGGGAAATTTCAGATCTTTATCTATTTCCTGACTGTTAGTAATTAAAAAGCCGTCTTCAATTTCATTTTTTTCTCATTCTAAAAATTGTTTTAAAAATCAGGAAAAATCCCAAAAAACAAAAACACTTCAAAATTGTCGATTTTTTTTCATATTTTTTACTTGCTAAATTCTATTTTTTATTAGTTAATCTTTTTATTTTTTATTAATATCGATGTGCACAGATTTTTATACTACTCTAAGGAAATTTGAGATGATTGTACTCTCAATTCTTCTCAAATTGAGGAAAAAAAATCACGTCTGCCTGCAACACATTTTTCAACAACTGAGAAATGGAAATCCCCACATTTTTTGTTAAAAATCCATGTAGAGATCACTCCTACAAGTTAATCAACTATATATATGCATAGTTGTAATTACTAGTTAATTAACCTCTAGGAATAATGTTTGCTTGTATTTTTGACGAAAAAACGTGGAAATTTGCAGTTTTTATTTCTTTCAAATATGTTGCAGGCAAAATATTGAAACTTTTTTCCCCTCAATTTTAAAGGAATTGAGAGTACAATCATTTCGAATTCTCTTAGAGTGGTAGAAAAATCTGTACACATCAAAATTAATAAGAATAAAAGATTAAGTGATACAAAATAGAATTTACCAAGGCAAAAATATGAAAAATTATTTTCTACAACTTTGAAGTATTCTTGATTTTTTAAGAGTTTTTCCAGATTTTTAAAACCATTTTTAGAATGGAAAAAGAGATAAGAGTAAAAAACGGGTTTTTTAAATAATCAATATCAGGAATGATAAAGATCTGAAATTTTCCGCAGATTTATCTTTCTGAGTCGTAAATATGTAAAAAAATGGGTGCTTTGAAATTGGTTGGGGGCCGATTCACTATGCCTATCCGGGTGGACTCTTTATTGTTTTTATTCCTGGGGATTTCAGGAACTCGATTTTAATCACTCGAGGCTATCGAAACTGGAGAATCTGGAGCCTCTGACAAACATAAAAAAGCTGTGCTTCACTTGGAATTTAATCAAGAAGATTGAAAATCTCGATACTCTCACGACACTCGTGGAGTTGGAACTGCGAGATAATCAAATTACTGTGATCGAGAATTTGGATGCATTAGTTAATTTAAAGTGAGTAGAAACCGAATAAAATCATAATTTTAATCAAAATCTCTCGAAAGATGCAACCCAAGAAGTTCATTCGTTAATTATTCAAGGAAAATCTCTTCATAGAATACAATTAGCAAAATTTTCTCCAAGTCATCTTTTGTGGAGTGGGACTGGGAGATTAAAAAAGTCTATAAAAGATAAAACCAAAATTTCCGCATCTCTATTAGATATCAAGATACTTCTAGGAAATTGATGTATAAATTGAATCAAAGAATTTTTAATTTTAATTTTTTTTCTACGAAAATTTTTATTTTTATTTTTCTTCTTTTTTTTTCTTCTTTTTTTTTATTTGCCCGAAACCTTAAAGTTTATACCGCTTTATATAAAAAATAAAACTAAAAAATTTATCTTTTTAAAAAAATATATATGGGGGATTCCATGCCAACTCGGCCAACCCATGACCTCGATCCCCTAGATTTTGAACGCGATTTTTAATGAGATTTAGTTATAATCCGTGCATAAAACAAGCGGAGCTACAATAACTCTAATCTGAGTTCGGTGGCATTGGGGAGGCTAGTCCGACCATCCGCGTACTTAAATCTAATCTAATCTAGCTAGCTGAAAAAGCAATCGCAATTTTTTTTTCTATGATTAGTTAGTTTTTTGTTTAAGCTGAAAGCTAGGAAAAAAACGCCATGCTCTAAGAATCTGAAAAAATTCCCAAAATTTTGAGAAAATATTTGAGGAATATTTTTTGATATTTACTACAACCTAGTACTATTGATACGACGTCTATTTACTAGGATAACTCTCATATTGTTGAAGGAAATGTTCAGTGGAACGTTTGATTAATGCTCTCTGCAAATGAGAGAAATGATGTAGTCCTTTTGCTACGACATAGTTTCCTCGTTTGTACAACTATTGCTTTGTGTTCCGCATAGTCTTGGGGATCTTTGGTTTCGCAGGCTCTTTCGCAGGAGTCTGTGTTTCCTTCGAGTTTGTTCCCATTCATTCGAAATATTTACACTTCAGCTGAGCGGAAAACTTTGGAGAACACGTTCGTACGCCTCGGTGGCTCCAGCCAAATTCTTTGTTAAATATCAATTGATCTTCAAAAACTATTGATTTTATGAAAAAATGTCAAAAGATCATTTCTGTCGCAAATTTTATAAGCCGCAAATGGATCATTATGAAAAATATTGAATTTCTAAAACATTCATTGATGTTCTCTTAGGATTCTAGACCTGTCCTTCAACCGACTGAAGAAAATAGAGAACTTGGACAACTTGAAGAAACTCCAGGAGCTTTTTCTGTCGTCCAACAAAATCGCAAAAATTGAAAATCTCTCTCATTTGGAGAATTTAGTTCTTCTGGAACTAGGGGATAACAAAATTCGAGTAATCGAAAATCTACAGGGTCTCCAGCGCCTGACGAATCTCTTCCTGGGTAAAAATAAAATAATTAAATTGGAGAATCTGGCACACCTGGTGAATCTGACGCTCCTGAGTGTGCAGAGCAATCGTCTCACGAAAATAGAAAATCTGGAGGAACTTATAGAGCTGGATCAACTGTACCTTTCCGAGAACGGATTGACTTGCATTGAAAACCTCAAAGCGCAGACGAAATTAACAACACTGGATCTGGCAGACAATCAGATCAAGAAAATCGAGGGAATCAGCCAGATGGAACTCCTCGAGGAATTATGGGTAATTGCACATTAACGTTGATTTCTCTATTAATCTTGATATCCAGTGACTCTGAAAAAAAAAGTTAGATAGCATTTTTGTAGTCTGAAATTTCCTAGAAAAAAGTTCTACTGGATATTTTTCTTTATCCTCTCTAATTATCTCGAAATAATTACAATTAAAGACATAACATCTTTCCTACAGATGAATAACAACAAGATTGAGGACTGGGCCGCACTGGAGGCTCTAGCTGAAAACAAAAAGCTTCAGACGGTTTACCTAGAGCACAATCCCATCTCCAAGGACCCCAACTACAGAAGAAAAATAAAACTTCTGCTACCATGGCTGACACAACTAGATGCCACTCTGTGCAGATGAATGACTCAGTCTCCAACAACCAGAAATTTAATGAATTCATTAACTGTTGCACCTCAATGGGAATAAAAATCACGACCCGGTGAATTCTGAAATGTCTTCTCAACCCGAGAAACTTCCTTTATATTTAAAAATAACGAGCTAAGAGCTTCGATGTTACGATTTTAATGAAGCTGAACTGGCATCAGCCTTCCTCGAGGAACAATACAAATTTTCCACATCCGATTGTTGATTGTATAAACGCAATTTTTATAAATGTTCTTAAGTAACTCTTTTAGTCGAATTTATAGAAAATTTGCACGACGTATTTTCAGTAGTTCTACCCCTGATTTTGTAATAAATTAATAAATAATTAGTAAATACACTGACTCCAAAACAAGTGGACTGATGTTTTTAAAGTCAATTTATTCTCATATTTTTCATGTTGTATCCCATCCTTTTTGAATTCCGGAATATTTCGGAATTCAAATTTCAGGTCAGGTCAATGTCACTAACTTAACAAAAAAGGCAAATGATTATCTGAAATCACATTTGTCAACTGTCCGAGGGCTCCAGATAGTCATCAGCTCGAAAAATCCCCACGAGACACGCATAAAAAATAATAAATAGAATAATTATCTCCGGACTTTTACACATTCCCAAAACCCACAACAGTTTTTCACTTCTCCACTTTGTTATAGAAATCACAGACTCAACCGGAAAAATTCCGGGTTTCACGTCATTGGGTCCAGAGTCCTCATAATTTTACTGACAATTGTTAATTGTCATCGAATTGTCACGATTTATTGTGAATGGAATTTTAAACGCTATCGCCTTTGAACTTGCTTTTGAACACCGGAAGAGAGACTGTGTTGTTCCCGCGTAAATATTACCCCAGAAATCCCCAAGTCCGCCATTTTGTCAACGTCGGGACGAGTTAGCGGGAATCTGCCTTGTCAGCCTAAAATATAATCACTAGTTACGACAAAAAGAATAGGGACAATTACGCAAACATGTCAACCAGCTCAGTTGATCATGATTCATGACGGAGTGAAGGTTAGGAGGAAATAAGTTAGTCTAGAAATGTTGGTCGATAGAGGGTTAATAGTTTCAGTGATAACAAATTAAACAATTTTCATTCAACCCCTCAATATTATTCAACATGAGACATACTTAAAGTACTGATAACCCATTGTGATATTGTCTTGAGTGAATAATCAGCTCTCCTAGTGATTCAAGCAGTTCTTCCGAGGAAAAAGGAAAAGAAAAAACGTTCAAGGCGTTCACTTACTAGCTCTGTCACAATTTTATTGCCAAAACATGTGGAGAACTGTTGGTCCCAATGTAGATAGTTATACTAGTTGTTAGTTCAACAAAATATCACATTTTTTGTTAGTTGGTGATGATACAATGGTCTCAATAATAAAAAATCAGCTGCTCAAGCATCTATCAAGGTTTGTCATCATTTCTCGTTATAGTCCTTGACCTCAGTATAGTTAATGCAAATTAACAAATTTTCAATGTCATAACTATTAAAAATTCTGTCTCTCTTCTTCCAATTGCTGTAATATTATCTGTACCATCTGACAGAAAGTGACACATTTCCACTTTCTGATTCACTTCAGAGTAAAATCGCTTTCTAACCACAGAAGGTGAAATTTAAGATCCTCACCCACGTGTCATTCATTCAATTACTAAATCTATACACGAACCAGGCAGAGAGACACTACTAATAATTATTCAATATTTTTGCATTCTATTTATATCAACTAAAAAAAATGCATGGATTATGCTTTTAATTTCTTTATCAATGAAATTTGACATTTTTTGTTGTTTATCAACTCTTGTTATTGCGTTTCAAATGAAAATCCATCGCTTAATCATTATTCCTATTTATATCTCATATCTTCGATTATTGTGTGACGATTTAAATTCATTTTCTTTCATTCATTTTTTTCACTGATAAACATAAAAAAACTTTGAAGTTGTAATTCTTATCTATAATCATCAATTCATCTCTTTATCCAATATCTTTCAACTCAGATGATCAATTGCTTCACTTATTATCATATCGAGTGTCTATTTATCAACAAAACTTACAACAAAAATTTTAATTTCCCCCCAACAAACTTAACTAATTCTTCTATTCGCTCATTATCTTCTAATTCTAGTAATTAGCAGTAATTGTTTATGCTACATATGGAAAAAGCGTAATTAGTTGAATATGTGGAGCTTGTTGATTAATCAAGTGTATTTGGAATAATTGATCTAAAATCTAAAGATCAGATGACCTTTTTGCAGCCAAAATGTCACGAAAAGCTCATGCATGTAGAGAACTGTTTTCAATGTGAACGACTGGAGTGACATCGTAATGTTTAATAATTCTTTCTTATCAATAGGTTCACAAAGAACCTGTCAGCTGATAAAATAAACTTGAGTACATTAAGAGGGGAAGGTGAATTGACAAACTTAGAACTGGACGAAGCGGTGTTGACTGATCTACTGGAGTTACCATCCTGGCTGAAATTGACGAGTGCTTGGTGCAACAAAGTTAATCTACGTGTACAATGGACCAAGCTCAAGAGTGTTCCTATATTTTTGGTAAATAAGAGTAAAAGTCATAATTAATTGGCTATCAATAGCGTGAATAGATGAGATAAGCATCAATTTTTTAAAACAGTTGTCCAAACAATTTGATAAACATGATTGTCTGGGTCAAGACGATGGGCAATCGATCATGATGTATTATGGAGATCTGAAGGACATGAATATTGTAAATACTATTAATACTTCAGTTCTGGTTACTCAGACTGCCAGATGCTATTAAATTGTATATTCCAATGATTGAAACGAGAATAGGTATCGAATTTTCCTGTGGAATCGGAACGCCGGCGTCTTTCGAACATTCAATGAATTCTTTTTTATCCATCAACAATCAATCGAACAATCAATATCAGTGTCGGAATGTTTTGCACTTTTTTTAAATTATAAATTACTCCTGAAGTGAAGCGTATAGAGTCTGCACTATAGATACTGTCGTAACGCTAATTTTTCGTTGAGTATTCAATGGACTATGAAGTATTATTATTGAAATCATTGTGGAATCCACTTGTGTAAATATCTAGACTTGGATCTTTTGGTTTATTATGTAGTGACTGTTCTTATGGGAAAACATCCAAGGACCTTGACGATCTAAGATAATCGGATAATTCTCTTGAGTGGCGAATCTTGTTCATTGGTAATCTGCAAATAATTTTGTGGGCAGTCAGTCGAAGGGGAAACTGCCAACGAATTTTTTGCGACAATGGAAAACGTTTGGATGTGTTCTAATCATAAAAGAAAATCATTTCCTTTTGTTGAGAAAGTTTGTTAGCCGCAGAGTAATTATTAGCAATCATTGTTTCCCTTATTTTTCAGTTATTTCTCATTTTTCTGTTAACTTGACAGTTCCCTTGAAATCAATATCCCGATTTATTACCCTCCAATTTTTCCGCTTTTTGCTTCCGAATGGAAGCTTTTTTCTAATTATTTCCTATAATTAATCACCATTTTTTAATGAAAGCGCAAATTTTCATGGTAAACGTGGAAATTCAACAAGTACAATTTGAATGTTCAAAATTTCCACGAGCTCTCAGTGCCATATGGAGCTAAAAATAGAGAATTACAAAAATATCCGAAACATGAGGTGATTCATGAATGAAGGATTCTGCAGAAATTTCATGTGATTTTGTTGTTATTAATCATTTAAGGCCCGGGTGCACTATCTATCGAATGTCATCTTTTGTTTAAATTTTATCTCTTTAGCCTAAAATAGATTAAAATTTGGGATCAAATTTGTGTTGCGAGAGCTACTCTAATGGTTATAAAAAAATAATGAAAAAAAAGAGGAAAAATTATCGAAGGGCGCTAAAAAGCGATATTATTCAAAAGGCATCTACCAAGTTTACAAAAAAATAATAAAACTTACGCTTACCATAGCTCTCCAGAAGATTGAGTGACAGCTAGATGCAATAGTAAGCTACGTGTTTTTTTATTATTTTTTAGTAAATTTTTTATTTTTGGTAAATCCCTTTTGAATAATATCAATCTTTAGCGTCCTTCAATAATTTTTCCTCTTTTTTTTTCATTATTTTTTCATGTCCATTCAAGTGCTTCCCGTAACACAAAATTCATCCCAAATTTTAATGTATTTTAGATTAAAAAGATAAAATTTAAACAAAAGTCGACGTTCGATAGATAGTCCACCCGGGCCTTAGAGTGTATTTTTCCAAGTATGCAGTACTCACGGGAAAGTATTCAATTCTGATAATTCAATTTTGGTTTATAACCACAGTTAATGTTTATTATTATGGCCCATCAGCATCTAGATGAAGTGCATATCGAACTGGTAACTTGCGAGGAATTGAGAAGCCCAACGTCACCAAACAATGCAACTGCCTTTCCAGGGGCAACAAAATATTCGTTTATCCATAAAGTCATCGATGGGATCACAATTGCTGTTAATACAGTTACTGTTACGTTCAGAAGTCCTGCTTTCATTGCAAATGTTCAGGTATGTACTATCTTCACACTATTACGGACTAGTTAAATTATCATAACAACGGAATGATTAATTGCCCTTTTTGAAAGATAAAATAAGATAAACCAATTCATAAATTTCTATATTTTTCCTTTTTCCGTTTACGCTTCACAAATCCTATCCGTGGACATTATGAATAATTGATTTATAGAATTCTTTGAGAGAATTTTTCTCGATAATTTAGGGCCCGGATGGACTGTCTGGAAAAGATAATTTACTCCAAAATTGGGACTCGTAATTACTCCGTCAATCAATCGTTTTTTCCGATAATTGTTAGCTAGCGGCCTAGTGGTTGACAACCGTTAGAACGCTAGCTAACAATTATTGAAAAAAAACGATTAATTGCCAAAGTAATTAGGAATCCGAATTTCGGAGTAAATTATCTTTTCTAGATAATCCACCCGAGCCTTAAAGGGTTATAAAGATTATTCTATTCATTGTCAATCGGGATTGAATCGATCAGCTTGAGACTTGCAAACTAATTTACATGGTTCATACGAATTCCTCAGCAGGCATTCTTTGTAGGAATTTTCAATATCTACCATAAAAAGCCCCCGACTCGGATCCTTTAGCTCAGACGGTATTTGCGGAATAATCCACATATTCCTGCATTCAATTGTAGGAGCTCTGGACAATAATTACTTTCCCCAGTAAATTTACTAACACTGAGAAAATCCATATATTCCCATAAATTTACTAATACCAATTGAATCTACTTCTCAGAAGTGAATTACTCTAATTCCTTTAATTAACTAATTGAATGACTTTTTTTCTTCATGTTTAAGATGAATGAAAAAATTTGCAATTAGCAAAATTGCACTTACATAATGTTTAAATGAAAATTACAGATTGCGAGAATAACGGTTGAGTCAAAATCGCCGGCCTGGCAGCGTTGTGATTTGAGAATGACAAGACTTAAAGATACTGATAGAGGGCAACTACTTATATTCAAGGAAATGGAATGGCAGACTGTTAGAATAGAAGCACAAAGTACAAAAGACAAAGACTTGACACCACTACGTTTGTTAACTAATCAAGCTAGATGCCGTATTACTATTAAAAAGAGACTGTCTGACTGTTTTGTTTTGGGATCACGTTTGGTTCTTATTCTGGATGATCTACTGTGGGTCCTCACGGATTCGCAGCTGAAGGCTGCATTACGATTCATTGATTCTCTTGGTGGACTCATTGAGAGGGCCACCATGTTGGAAAGGAAAGTGAAAGCAGCAAGAAAACTTGAGGTTTGCATTCATTAATTAACCACACGATTCCCTTCATGATCATTGCTCACTAATATAATTATAAGTACATAATTATTGGAGTAATTATTATTATTTACAATTTTTTAATGGATTATTTCATTATTTGAAACAATTCCTAAGACATTAAAAGATTGAAATTTCCATTTTCTTGTTATTAAAGAACACATCAGTTTTTTTAATTTTTCAGAAAAATTAAAAATAATTTTTGTAATGAGCGATTACAGACGGACGTGTCAAGGAACTTTTTTATTTGAGAGTGACTAGAGGAAAATGTCATAATTAAGATGAATCAATCACACTAAATAATTTTGAATTGTCCTCATTCATTAATTTCCAATTTTACATGAAAGTCCGACAGAAAGTTTTCTTGGCATTTTCCTCTGAATATTTTGCCAGTAATAAAAATTCGATTCTTTTAAAAAAACAGTAACGAAAAACGTTTCATTCTTTATAGCTTCTACCGGAGTATCAGGCTCAGGTATCGCAGCAAGCGAGAAGTAAAATTCAGTGCAATACAGCAATATCCAAGATATTTATGAGATATGATGTAGTTGAAACCTGTTACCATTTTCTATGTCAGAGAATTGATCTCCATCTGTGCGATGATCCTGGCCGTAAGTTTTACTACTACTCTTAATTAACGTTCCATTTTTTTCCGCCAGTAAACGATTTCTCTTCTGATTGTCGAGGCATTTTGTGGTTTGGAAATTAAATGGAAAACTACTGATAAAAAGAATTCATATTCCGCCCTCTAGTATATTTTTATGCAGGGAAAACCGTAACTGTTGTTGACTTGGAATTTTCCTCCTGGTTTTTATTCTACCCATTCATTTAGAACATTAAATTTTAGTAGTTTTAGTTTACAATTGAAAATTTCCAATTGTTTGAACTATATTTTCCCTGCAGTCTATTTTATAAATTGATTTTCTGAATGACAACTGGACAACTACGACGCACGTCATTAAAGAACTTAATTATAGAATACAAGAATTAAACTTGATTTATAAAAACAAACTAGTAGAAATGCTGATTCAATTTTCGTTTAATTATTGGCAACTGGTGAATATTGATGGGAGAAATGAAACTTATTGAAAATACGCTCCGAATGATAAATAAAATTATAGGAGAGGCTATTGATAAGATAACAATAATTGTATTGATATCTCTAGGATTAGTTTATAATTTCTGTTTTTATTTCATGGAATAGCTGGTCGTTCGTCTCACCCTGACCTACAGGACGGCGGCGCTCTTCAGATATCCTTAGTTAAATTTCAAATAGATTATTATCCTTATCACTTGGCCATGGCTGATCGAAAACACTGGGCTAAATACAAGGAGAATGCCACTCCCCATGCTCAATGGTTACAGCAGTCTCTCAATGCATTCCGTGGACAATTTATGGATCTCATCGATATCGGACAGAGTCATGGGCCATCAAAACGTGTCAGCACCGATCACAGTAATGAAAGATGATGGAAATTAAATTCTTTTAGTCAGTAATCAAGTGGTGAAATGAGATAAGTCAAATTAACTGAAGATAAATTGAAAGCACACGAATTTAAAACCGAAATTTTTAAGTTTGTAAGAGAAATTTGTTTATAATTTACAAATATCTGGGAATTTATGAAAAATATTAGTGATTAGTAGATTAATCATTTTTTATATATTCATAAGATTACAAAGTATCTGAATCGAACTTTCTTAACAATTCGAAATTTACCTGAGGAGTACTTTACAAATATTAATTTTGGAATACACCATTTTATAAAAGTGAAGGAAAAAATCATTGCGTTATCTAAATTGTTTTTTTTTCTTCAATGTATAATTCCTGAAAAAGAGATTATGAACTTGTGAAATAATAATGAATTTACAAATTCATCATTCTTTTCTCCAAAGTTTTTCGATTAGAATAACAACAAAAAATTCTAGCTAGATCTATAATTTATTTATTGCCAAGCTCCCTAGAATTAATTGTCACTCATCGCTCTAACTGTATAATAATCGCAAATCATTCGTTTCGAAATGCAATTTTCACTACTTGATTACGCCATTCAACTTGTGTTACAGGAAATAATGTAAATCAAAACAAAATAAACTAATTAAATTTTTTCAGGTGATGAGAAAAAACAAGGGTGGGAGGAAAAACGAAAGAGTATGGACCAGCAGAGCTCATTAATATCATCCGAGACGAAAAAAACCCAGCCGAGTGGAAATGTAGTTAAAAATTTTGTTCTCGAGCAATTATCAACCCTCATGACAACCTGTATTGTCATTAGAATAAATGATTTCACTGTTTACAAAGTAACAACATCAACGCGAAAGCCTACAACGAAGGAATTCATTACAGGTGAATTTATTTCCAATTATTTAAATCACTTTTACAATTCTTTCTTTCATATTACTGTCGTCTTTTATATCGTCTTAAATGAATAGTTTATTTTATTACAAGGTAATTTATTTGGTCTTTGAATAACCATTTTGTGCACTTATTCGTTAAATGGACAGCCCAAACGAGGAAGAAGCATATGATGACAGGTACAGGTAAAATCCTCGATGCAGTAGTGGCATAGAGCACGTCGCATTTGAATGTATCCATTCACCGTTAAAATTCACATAGGTTTTTTACTATGTTTGTATGAAAATTTGCCTCAACTTGTTGGCAGTAGTTATTGATAGTAGAATGTCAACTTCTGGACGATTCTCATAAATTCTTCAAACTTTGAACATTCAATAATATTGTAATTAATTCACTGTACGGTAGTCCCTGTATCCTCATGTTTTCCATTTGATAGTCATTAATGGTTTTATAATTTCCATTTCTCTGTCTGCAGGGGATCGAGACAAATTCTGTCTACCTGACGATGTTACCATTATTCACGCCGAGTTTACATATTACTATTACCCTGGAGATATTTCATTTCCATGTGAGATTTCAAAATTATAGCAATTCAATGAAGAAGTGGTGAAATATCAAATTTTCGTTTATTTTAAATTCGAAAAATTCATCGAGAGGGTAAAGGAGTACAAAATAAATTGACTGAAGATATTTAAAAAAAAAGAAAATTGTCATGTTTGCTTGATTACTTGAACATAATTATTTTTTTTATTTTAATTGCACTGAAGAAAGTAATTATTTTTATCAAGTAAATTTGTGTTTTCATTGTATCTAAATTATTGTAGACTGTTAATGTTTTAACGTTTTGTTTTCATTCACAATTAACCATTGACAATTTTATATTTGAAAACATTCCACCACTTCTTATATACTTTGTCCATTTTTTATACAATATTAATGAAAATCCATTTGTATTACCAGTGCCACCACCAAAGTTCTACGTCCAGGCGAATCCTCTGCAAATAAATTACGACGTGTTCAGCTGCTTGTGGTTCAATTCATTTGTGTTGAATCTATATCAATCTCTTCTGAGTGCTGAGAATCATACGGAAGATACAGATGTGATGTATTTCGATGTTAAACTTGAGGCCATATTACCAAGGGTGGGGCAATTAATTTTTTATGACAAATTTTGTCTGGTAATTAACAAAGATTAAAAATAATGAAGCAAATATTTTATGATTTGAACAGATAGTTCTGGAAACTCAACATGATTACCCGAATCAAAGGGACCGACCAAAATCCCTTCACCTTCAAATTTCAAGAGTTTCAGTAACGAACGTGAGATCCACAGAGAGATCATCAAGAGCCGATTTAGCTGAGTGTTTAAATGCCTTTCAAATGGGTCAAATGTTTTATTCGAGTGAATTCCCCAGCAAGGATACGGATTTTCGGGTGATCCCTGAGAAATTCTTGAGCCACTGTGCAGGTAAATCTCTATTTTCACGTAAAATTCCTTTCTCTCTACACTTACTCGAAATAAAGTGATCTATTTAATGATTGCTGGATTTAATTTCCCCTATATTTTCTGTCTATACAGAATTCCAAGTTTCTATATCAATTATTTTTTAATTCATACTTTTTGATTCATTGGTTAATTTATTTTTATTCGTTAAAAAAATTGATGGATAAATTCCGTATTTTCTCACCTAGGCACAGACAACGTACGATCTTACCCTCCAAATTTCAATGCTTCAACAATTGAAGAGCTCACAAAACAGTTGACAAAAAAACTCCTGTGGATTGACTCAAAGGACATGTGGTGCTGCAGTTTGGAGCCGGTGTGGGCAGATTTCTTTGGAGCCCGAGCCGTTGGCTCTAACCGGCCAGTTCCATTCCTGGACGCCTTCCCCGTCACCATTTGGCTACACCTTTCTCCCCCCTCACCCTCTTCCGCCACCTCAAAATCCATTGGAGCAAATATCCACGGTTTAGCGTACATAAGCAATCTCATTTCCGTCCAACTGAATCATTATCAGTACCTCTTCCTCCTCCGCCAATTGGAATCCCTCACGGAGATGAGTACCTACCTCGGCGTGGACTCGAATCGAATCCTCAATGTGGAGTCTGGCTCCCTGACAATTGGCGCACTCATCCCACAAGTGGAAGTTACCTTGATAATGCCATCCCAAACACCAGGAAAAGAGAACTCAGGTGGAGATCTGGAGTCAGTGGTACCAGACTCGTCCAGCATCGCCGAGGATCTCCTCCCCACGTCCCTTCCTCATCCACTGGCAACCGCAGCACGAATGGAATTCGGCTCTAAACGATTGAACACTTCGAACGACGTGGAAACACCACAGAGTGAAGTCTGCTCGATGATATTATCGGAACACCCAACGCAACAAGTGGTCACGTTCAAGCAGGAACGACCCGATTCAATCCAAGAGTTGGACTTCCCAAGGCTAAAGCGTCAGCCATCAGAGACAACTCCTTTCATACCAAATAACTTCAATGTTGGTTTATCATCTATGAAAAAGGGCTTTGCTAATCTAATGACATCCATTGACTCCGCATTGAAGGCATCTCCAGAGGATGGTAGCAGTGACACTGTCTCTATGAGGAGTGACATGAGCTCGGATTCTGAGAACTATGTTGCGGATAAATTGGAGGAAGGGGATTCCTTCTTTGGAGGGCTTAATGTTACTGGTATAACTACTGTGGAGGAAGCTACTGAGGTTGTTGAAGAGACTCCAGACACACAGAGTGAGAAATCAATGGATTCTGCCTGTAAACGAAAGGATCTAGTCTCGATGATAACATTTAAATTGTCTAAAGTTGAAGTTATCCAGCAGAGCTCTGGCTTTGATTCGGTTATCAAGGTTCAGGTCGCTAAAATTGCCAGTGAGGAATGCTCATCGATACCCTGGGATGAATTTCAGTCGAAATTCAGCTCTAGATCGAGGGGCTGGGTTGAGGTTTTTTCGGATGCTGATTGTGGGGCATGCGCTAGGATAAGGCTTTCTCATGGGCTGAGGGAGGAAAATGTAGACACCCTGGGCCGGAAAGGGAGTCACCTGCACAGCAAGGAGGGACTCATGGCCATGTTCCAGGATGAGTTGAAGGCGAGGATTATGAATGTCAATTTGGCTCTGTCTATGAGCTATGTGGCTGGTTTGACAGATCTCGTGGAGGACGAGATCATTCCGGATCCGCTGCCTATGGAGGTAAATATTGTCATTTTACAAATTAATAAAAGGAGAGGGGATTCATAAAATAAGGGCGGGACATTATATTCTCAGAATATTTACGTGTGCTGAAGGGCCTGGCCATTTGGGAAGAATTGTTTTTCTCTTTAGGAACGTCGTCTATTTTGCATGTAATCGATCTAATCACTTTAATATTGATTAAAAAATCGGCATTAGATCGTTTTTCTATCATTCTTATTTCCTCTTGCGATTTTAAATTGCATATGAGATCACATTTAAATTAACATTAAAATTCTATAATTTCAAACAAAATCTTATAAATTGCCACTAAATTATAGAAATTAAACAATTCAAGTACTTTTTTTTTAGTTTATTACATGAGTTAGTATACGAAAATAAAAGACATGAGTATAGATTTTATTTGAATGGAATGAATATTTTTCAAAACGTGACACGTCAACATATTATCATCAATCGCTCTTGATCAAACCAATGGTTTGATCAAGAGCGATTGAAGAATTCGAACTGCACTGTAAAAAACTCGTTGAGGCCTATAAAATACTGTACAATATGTTCCCATAAATTACATCGAATGCTATGGTAATTAGTAATAAACGTGAATTTTTAAGCGTGACATAACGGTGAAGATAAAAAAAATCTCATACCAACAAATTAATTAAAAATGGGTCGGTGTGGAAAAAATGTTTTGATACTATTGATAAATTTATTGAAATTGATATTTACGATATTTTCAATTTCTCCTCTCATTGCCACGCAACGAAAGATTTGGAAAATATCCGATAATTTTGAAGGTCTTGGGGTATTACTGATTATTTTTGGGCCTTAAAATCCAATAAAAGTGAATTGGTGGTGAAAAAAACTTTGCCTCCCTGTACTTTCTCCCATATTTCCGCAAATAATTACCGCAAAGTCGTAATACTCGTTCTGTCCTCTCCGTGAGTTGACTGAAGTGAATAGGAAAGATTCAATGTGTGTGACCGGTATCTAATATTCAGGGAATAAATATTCGCGTCATTAATCCGTTTAATAATAAATCCACTAATCGGATTAATCTATTTACATTCATTTTTCAGATATTTCTGGAGAATATAAGTCTTCGACTGAACGAGGATCGTCCCCCCAACAACATCACATCCCCAGGACCGATTCCCATTGACGTAGTAATCTCAAATCTCAAAATTTTGCGAGATAAAAAAGGAATATTCCACGTTGAACCCCAGAGTGATAAACGCTTACTAGCAAATTTAACAAATGGAATTGATAAATGTACTATCAGCGATGAGACGGAAATAGAGTTGAATTTTTTGAGACAGTCATCAAGCCAGTTGAAAGGAGACAATGAGGAGTTGAAACGACGACTCGCCGCCTTAGAAAAACTTTCAGAGGAGAATTCACGACTGAGGCGATCCCATCAAGAGTTGGAGATTCTAAAATCGAGTCTCAATGGTGCCCAGGACTACATCTCTGAATTATTGAAAGAGAAACAGGCCCTTCAGGATACTGTTACTGTACTTCAGAAGCAATTGACAAAGTCCAACGAATCAGCGAACAGTGGGCGACCCTCATGGTCTATCAAAAGATAGCACACCAGCTGTTTCGATTGCTCAACCTGCTGCAGTGCTAATAAATCATGATAGAATAGAGAAGACAAATGTTCTGAGGAATTTCATCTCTAAATAATATCTCTGAATATTCTCAAAGTTTTCCTCGAGGTGGGGCACTGGAAAAATATATCTATCCATTCACTCGAGAGGAGTATTTAGGGGAGGGTGGGGTAACACAGTTTTTTAATAAATATTTTAAATGTCAGAAATTGGACGTGGATTTTTCCACTATTTCTTTTCGCATAGTGAAAATTCATTACCCCTGGCATGTAACAGCCTTCAAATAGTCATAGAATAAGCGGAAAAGGGGGAAATCGACACCTTAATTACATTTTTCAATTATGAAAATTCTCCCTTGATTTGGAGATACTCATGGAAAACTGAGCTATGAGCGAATTCCACTTATTCCATCACTTCATCACTTCGGTTCTGAATTAAATAATCTTGTGTTATAAGAAAAAATTACAGAAAAAAAGAACCGCATTACCCCACCCTCTCATCATCATTTATCATTGTATTTCTCCTATCGAGTTTTTTCCAAGACCATTCGTCTTCAATTGCGACAATTATATAACTCTCGAAGATGATTTTGTCAATTACGACTCTAAGGGATTCTCTACGCAATTAGATCGACCATAAGATTTCCAAAAACTTGGGAATTTCCGAGAAGTTCACTCAAGGTCATATCTAGCATTATCATCTTTGAGAGCAATATGATCTTGATAATGAAAACCTAATCAGGATATTTCTCTCGAGTAAATGAATGATTGACAAAAATACATTTTTTCTCAGAATTAACAGTTGCATTAGTATTTCAGACTGAGTAGAATTCTATAACATTCCTGAGACTAGGGACGAGGCAATTTTTTAAATTATGAATGTAATTACATTCATTGTTTTTGGAGTGAAATATGAAAACTTCAATGATGAGTGATTCTGGAGAAAGAATCGGGGGACGTTAGGACAAGTTTCAAAATATCAAAAAAATATTACTGCAATGGAGGAATTATTATTAATGGTATGCCATGTGCCTCCAAATTTTATTATTTGTGTACAATTGTTGTTTCAATCAATTGTTATTTTATTTTTACCATCGTCTAGAGGGGAGGATTAAACTGAACATTCTACTGTCCATTCAATTTATGCTTTAAAAACATCTAAGGATAAATAAGAAAATCAAACGAGTAATTTATTTTAACGGAATCATTCATCATCGGGTTAATTTGATATTTCAGAAGATTTGAAAATCTATTTGAAGGTTGTTTTTAAATTTTGAAGCTCGTGTGGGTTCAATTTTTTGCTTTTTCATTTTTGAGTGACACTTTGATATTGTCGAATTTGAAGAGATCCAAGATTGGAAATGGTCAGGAGTTATTAGCGGGATAATGAGAGTAATTAGTAGAACTGTATACTAAGATGTTCGAGAGAACGAGAATTTCATAATTTGAACTTTCAGAAGGCAATAATAATGTCTCATATAATTCTAAGAACGTCTTTATTCGTTTGACGTTGAAGTACCTCACGTAAGTGGTTCGTTACATATCTTTAGAGTCTAAAAATATGAAGATCTTTCATTTTGTTTCATTGATTACAAAAGTATCTTGATAATCATTGTAAGCTCAATGTTACGCGATCTTTTTAAAAATTATCTAGCCATTCAAAAAATTTAATGGCGTTTTTCTATGAAACTGGTCCAATGGAGAAAATTTAATCACCAATAAAATTCACACTTGGATGTCTTCAGAAGGGGTTTTTATATTGAAAATTTAAATTTTTATACATTTATTTGCTATCGATGCCTTCCGTTATTACATTTTTATTGTTTTTATTTAATCGATTTGACAAATTTCTTCCTTATTTCGAATATTTTGTGTTGGAAAAATGATGATAATTTATTTGGTCTTCATCACTTTCTCTACATGTATATAGTATGATATACATATATAAGAACAAATTGTAATGTAGTCGAAAGGATAATTTGTGGCGTTTGTCGGAAATATATTATCAATGGTGTTGTTAATGAAAAATTAAGAGTTGCAATGTAATAATTTAATGACTGAAATCTATCTGTCCATATATCTATCTTAATCCCTTTACTATAATTGAAACCAACAAATTTCATTTTCCTTCTCTTCAGTTGAATTAAAAATCAAAATTGTTATAATTTTCATCGAAATAGTCGAGTGAGCCATGTACAACTGTTTTATTAATCACTTATTGTTAAATCGTTTTGAATTTTGTCTCGTTTTTTTCTTTGAATTGTAATTTAATCAGAGATGAGTGACAAACAAATTTTATATTCAAAGAGCGTCTCTATCTTTGTTGAGATATATTGTGAATAAATTGAAAATTGTTAATTTTTAAAGTCAATATGTTACTCTGCTTTATTCGTATATTTGTATTGGTAATAGGATAAGAATTTGTTATTTTGCCGCTATTAATTTTGAGATTTTTCGGTGAATATTTTCGATTTGTGCCATTCTTGCAGTTTTGAAAAAGAATCCCTAAAAAATGCTTCGACTTAGATAATTATCATAATTTTCACATCATAAAAATTTGGTGATTAACACCAAATGTCTATTTCTGAAGATATTGACAGGATTTTTTCCAATTTTTTAATGCAATCAAATTAATTATTAATTTGAAGTGAGGCAATCAAATAAATCATATTTTTTTAATTGAAGTATTCATCGTCGGGATAATTTTATCTTTGAGAACAGTTGGAAATTTATTTGCGACTGTCTTAAACTTTTCTTTTTGCAGATATTAACAAAATTTTTGGTAATTAAAATTTCCCACAGCAAAGGACAAATAAACATAAATCAGATGTACATTTCATTTTTTTATTATCTCCGCACCTTGTCAGTCAATAGAAAGTCGTAAATATTCTCCATGACATGGAATTTCCGGCAAAAAAGCTCTTCATCTAGATTCTCGACATTCTCCTATTTATGAATGATGAAAATATTTATTAGACAATCTAAAAACGCATCACAGTCTTATTTACTATGTCCTCCTTAATAAACCTTCAATTCCCTAAAAATCGTCGGCTATAATTACACCCTTGGAGCGATAAAACTCAAGGACACAATACTAGATAAACCCTTGGGAAATTTATCTTCCATAATAATACAATTATTTTTACTAATAAAATTTACGCTGTTAAATGATTGTCTGCAATAATCTTAAAATTTCGATAAAATCTCAGCAAAATATTTTCATCACGCATAATCGAATGAATTTGGGAGATAATAGGGAAAGAAAACCCGAAAAGATGGAAAAATCAGGTAGCTGACAAAAAAATCAATGAAAAATTTGACATTAGAAAAAATCATCGAAAAATGGTAGCAAAATATATAGCTATGGTAATTATCTCCTAATTTCAAGAGTACAGCATCGAAACAATCATTTTAAGGCCCGGACGGACTGTCTGGAAAAGATAATTTACTCCAAAATTGGGACTTCTAATTACTCCGTCAATTAATCGTTTTTTCCGATAATTGTTAGCTAGCGGCCTAGTTGTTGACAACCGCTAGAACGCTAGCTAACAATTATTGAAAAAAACGATTAATTGCCAAAGTAATTAGGAATCCGAATTTCGGAGTAAATTATCTTTTCTAGATAATCCACCCGAGTCTTAAGCTGTAATCAATAATCAAATCAATTGAAGTAGAATATCCCGCGACAGGCCCATAATGCAAATGTTTCCCAAGTACAAATTTTGGCCAATATTGTTTTCACATCGATACATTTGAAACCATCATCGATGTATTCCATTCAATTTCTTCGTCAATCACCGTGGAAAAATGGATTCTGTTGCGAAAAAAGTCAAAACCAAGAAAATTAATATACAAATTGAATTTTAATGAACACCGGCGACTGGGACTTTTCAATACTTACACACAAGCAAACAATACTTTATTGCTATTTTCCGGATGCATTAAAAAAGAATTGCCACATACATATCAGAAACCCCCAGATTCGCTGCGAAAATGGTCATAACACAAAAAATTCAGAAGTTGAATGAAAAAAATAGAAATCTAAAAATGCAAATGCCCAAAAATACAAAAAAAATGAATAAAATGATCGAGTTGATTTGAGAGAGGCCTCGCCTATTATGTAGTACATAACATAGATTTGGTGATACAAGGCTATGTAGGTGTATTGATCCATTCTTATGGCACTTGTGCGCGTAACCAGAACACCCGCTTCCTCCTTATCGCCATTCTACATTTTTTACTTTAACACGATTCGTCGGAAAAGTAAAGCTGCGCGGAGGCTCTCCTGCGCTCGCGCATATTCCCAACATCAAGACCCCCAACTAGTATTGAAGCTTTTCATCGGCTCAGTATGAACTATTTGACTCAATGATGTCCTGGCACATTTATTGATCGTTTCGTTGGAAAGTCATCGACAGTATTTCATTATTTCAGTCAGTTTTTCATTATTTTTCCGATAGTGCGGACGTAATTAATTTCTAAAAATTCATTTATTCTTCAAATCATCAAGAGCTTTTAAAGGAGTAGAAGGGCTTTGACATTTATGACACGTTCTCAAGGACTCCCAGGTTTCTCAAGGTTTTTATAATGTTCTTATCAGTTTATACCATTTTTTTTTCTCTCTTCCTGTCAGTCGGTGATTGACATTTTAGGAGGAATTAATTAGTCGAACAGTTGGTGGTGGGGCTGTGGGTATTAAATGGTATGTCAGTAGTTAGTCTTGCTGTGGGTGCGATCATACAAGACAATTATCGCGTGAAAATTGCGGGATTTAACGAAAATTTATCCTCAAACACAACGAAAAATCCATTTTTATATTAAATTGTTATTGTAGTTTAATTGAGTGAACAAATTATCTCGCGAATGTTGGCAGAATAATTTTGAAAAAGGAGAATTACTTGAAAATTACGAACAATCTCTTCGGTGTTTCTCTTGGTAAAATGTCGTTAGGATAAAAATTTTTTGAAAAAGTCAGAGAAAACGTTTTTATAGTTGAAAAATATTCTCAGAATAATGTAAAAATATATTGTTTTTTATAATAATTATTATTATTATCATTTGATGTAATTCATTAAATTTTTTCGAGTTAACAAAAATTGAAGGAAATTTATAATTTATTGCAGATAATTGATGATGCAACAACAAAGTGACGTTTATTCAATCGATTCTACCGAATCAATGTTGCAAAAAAATAAAATTCGGTGACTGGTATTAAAAATCTATACGTTAAAATTAAAAAATGGACGAGCAGAAGAAATCTTTGTGTCCACGACTGATGGATTACATGGCCATTGTCGGGGCAAGGTCATGTCCAGGTTCCAGGCAACCTGTTCAGGTACATTAGCTTTTGTTCACACTAAGATAAAAATTTTGTAAAATGTAGCAAATCCATTTGTTTCCCCCCAAAAATTCTTATTTTTCATTAAATTAGATAACAAATAATTAAAAATATTTTTGGAGTAAATAATTATTTAATTCATCTAATCTTTTGATAGATTCGCTTCAATTTTCTATTTCTTAACAAATATGGTGTAAAAACAAATAGTTATGCTCTTAATGACATTGTTATATAAAATTTAAAGAACAGAAAATCGAATTATTTAATTCTATTATATTATTTTTTTATAACTATATCAAGAAGTTGAAAAATATTTTTCTCATATTTTGACGAATACTCATTTCAAATATGAATTCTTGTAAAGAAGAAATCTTACAGTTGAACTAGAACATTTCAATGAGTAATATTGAACAGATTTATTCAATTGAAACCAATTATTTTTTAATTTAATAGTCCCTCAATGCAGTTTATTTGCTATTGATAAAATTTGGGCTAATGATGATTGCGGGTGATGCCAGGTGCCGGAATTATTGCGCCGTTATCCACTGGAGGATCATAAGGATTTTCCTTTGCCTCTGGACATGGTGTACTTTTGTCAACCGGAAGGATGCACCAGTGTTGGCCCAAAACGTACAGCTTTGAGAGAAGCTACGTCATTCACCTTCACCCTCACTGATAAGGATTCAGGTAAAAATAATACAGATCTCATTGCACCTTTCAGAGTAATAAAAAAAAATTAAAGAGACTAGAAAATCTTTTTGACGAATTGTTAATCAGATTGGCCCAAACAAACCTACAATTTTGCATTTTATAATTATTTCATGATGTCTAAATTTTCAACGTGCAATAATATTCCAGTATTTATTTATAAAATTTTATGAATTTCGAAGTTCAGAAAAAATGTAAGAGAATTATTGCACTCTTATGACATTTTCAGTCATTAAAAAATTATTCATCATCAAAATACAACATTCAATACTTTAATTCTCTCAAAACTTTATGTTTCTTATTTTTATTTCCAAATGTATACCCTACGCCCCTTAGAGCTACTATAAAAACATTGAAAAACAGGGGAAAATGACGCCCTCAGGACATATTAAGTAGCTTATAAAGTATAACATACAATATAGAGTGTACATTATTTTTTATGTGTCTAGTTTAAACAATCAAACTGTTACTTTTTATATATTTTCGGAAAATAGGCAAAACTCGTTACGGAACATGTGTAAACTTCTATCGTCCAGTGGAAAGAATAACAAGCTCAATCAGCCCAGGAATGAGAATCCGAAAAGACAAGAATGATCCAAAATTGCGTAAAGAGAGTTGGAGAAAAAGCATGGAAAAGAGTTCAGATTCAGCGTTCTCGAGGTGACCTTGTGTTCCAATTAATTTCACGTATTCCCCATTTTTTTATTGGCCCTGAGCGCTTTATCGATTTTATGATTCCAGCGACTATAGGAGCAGTGTTATCGGGCCAAGTGATTCCGACAGAGAATATCCTAGCAGGAGGGACTCAGATACACCTATGACAACAAGACCACCTCGTCTGGGTATAACAGCTCCTAGTGGAGACAGTGAGAGTGGTGGTAGCCATTCACCCTCACCAAGAGCATCAAGAAGAAGACAAAAGATCAGGAATCACTCGTTGACTTCTCTCTGTATCATCTCGCATCATCCATTCTTTTCGAGATTTCGAGAGTGCTTATTCATATTGAAGAGGATCATCGATGCCTGCAATGACAACATGTCACCGCAGAAAGTTGGGGCCTCGAGACAAGCCAATAGGTAAATTCTATCAATCTGGTATTCATTCGTTTAACTGTCAATTGCTGTCATCTTGCTCTTTCTCATTTATTTCTTCTACTGGATTATTCATCGAATCGTTCTTTAAAAAATCGTTGTCTCTGAGAATTTCAGCTGTCAAAGCTCCAGATTTTTTTAGTAAGGATATTCAAAAATTTTTTAGTTGAAATTCACGTTTTGAAAACAAATTTTTGGCTAATCATTGGTGGTACTGATTATTTAGTGCTTTTTTTTCTAGTTTTGTGATTTTTTTTGAAGTTTAGAAAAAAAAGGAAAATATTCGCATTAAATAATGACAAAACGGAAAACCGGTGGATTTTTTAACGTCAATATCGTAAATTAAAATAAAAAAAGGAAGAGAACTGAAAATGCGATTGTTAGATCGCGTTCGTATGTGTGTATATCCGTGGATGAATATGTCCGTATGTATCCGGTTTCATTACAATCTTTTTGCAGATTATTCGCCAACCGATTGATGGATTTGTACATTTTCACCCCTTGATCATTAATTTTAATTCCCCTTCCTCTTTCCATTGATATTACCCCAGCTTATGAAGGTTTTCCATTTTTTATGATATTATTTTTTAAATATTTCAATAGCAATGCTTTAAAATTTGAAAATATAGATATAAATTTGAAAATAGTATTTTGAAAAAATATTGAAATATTAAAAAATCATTACATTATTACGCCTGAATATTCACTAAAAATTATTAAAAAACTCATACTTTGTTATTCATAGAGACAGTGTATGGAGTGTCTTGGCAAATCAATGTTTCGAGGGCGCCTCATCTCTGGTGCTTCATGACGTCCGTGAAATAGAGACCTGGATTCTCCGGCTGCTGAGTGCTCCTGTCCCCGTACCCGAAAAAACTCGTCTCGAAATGGAGATCGTCTCGCCCCAGATTCAACCCCCTCTTTGTTTCGCTCTTCCAGATCACGTCCGTTTCTCCCTCGTCGATTTCCCTCTCCATCTCCCCCTTGAGCTTCTCGGCGTGGATATTTGTCTCAAAGTCCTGACCCTGATACTCCTCGAGTACAAGGTAATTAACCATTGATTATGCCAATCCGTTATCAATTAAACTCCCGGTAGCTCGTTCATCTAATTAAATATTCCATTACAAAGGAATATTTAATTGTCTTGGTAATTAGTGATCTTTGGAAAAGATAGATCATTTTACTTGCTATCACTCGTCGGTCATTTGCTAATTATTCATTCACTTTATTCATCTCAAATTAATTTTTCATAATTGAATTTTTGTAATTCCTACTGTTTAATTAGGAAGCATTCATTTATTAATTCAGTAAAAGTTATCAAAAGTATCTAGCAATCGCTAGATCTAACATTTCTGAAAGAAGAATGGAAATTGTGGCTTAATACTATAAATTCAATGAAGTAATTACAAAATAATTATTATCATTATCATGACACAATAGTAATCCTATAAAATTGTTCATCGCAAATCAGAAAAAAAAACAAAAACAATAGATTTTTAAATGACCAATGGTGAATGGAAAGATGGCAAACTAAAGCTACAGCCACACCCAGAAATTGAAGCCCCACGGTGCGTTCATAACTTATCGATTTTAAAATTGCAGATAGTAATGCAATCACGTGACTACAACGCACTCTCAATGTCAGTGATGGCATTCGTGACGATGATCTATCCCTTGGAGTACATGTTCCCAGCAATCCCATTACTCCCAACATGTATGAACTGCGCAGAACAGCTTCTGCTGGCTCCAACACCCTTTGTAATCGGAATCCCGGCATCATTCCTCTTGTACAAGAAGAACTTTGAGCTACCTGATGACATTTGGCTAGTAGATCTCGACAGCAATAAAATAACAGCACCTACAGGTCCCTGTGAGCACCTCCCAGCGCTACCTGAACCTGAGGGATCAATACTGAAGAATCATTTGAGACAAGCAATGCAGCTGATGGATCAGGCTGGTTCCAACATGATTCTAAGTGCTCCAGGCTCACAAAGATCCTCCATATCCCCCCAACCAGGTCTTCCATCTCCATCACGCCGAGAGAGCACTTCGTCCCATCACTCAACCCTCAGCGTTGTCTCTTCTACGAAACATCGAGCCAGCATGGACATCGGTGTAGGCCACAGCCCAATTAGTTCACCAGGAGCCTCTGGAGCCTCTTCACCTAGTAGAAACTTCACACCACCTATCCAAAAAGCACCTCAACCTCCCTTCAATCCATTCATCTACGGCAATGATGTCGATTCTGTGGACGTAGCAACTAGAGTTGCAATGGTTCGTTTCTTCAACTCCCAGAATCTACTCGCTAATTTTACAGAGCACACCAGGATTTTAAGGCTCTACCCAAGACCTGTAGTTGCTTTTCAAATAAACTCGTTCCTCAGATCGAGACCTAGAACCAGTGAATTCCTTGATAAATTTGCGCGAACTCAGGCTGTGGAGTTTTTGGCTGAGTGGTCACTCACTCCCAATAATGTGGCGTTCTTGAGGGTTCAGACTGGGGTATTTGATCCGGCACAAATTGGAGATAAACCCAAGTGGTATGCCGCTTCTTTAGAGCCCATTCAATTCTCGGTCTGGGAGACCTGCAGCTCGCTGGTCAGCGCTTTGAAGAACATTGAGGAAATGGAGAATCAGCCGACCGACGAGAGTGGCTCGGACTCTGAGGGCGCAGAGAGCACCAGCTCAAGTTATTCCTCCCTCAGTGATTTTGTCTCTGAGATGGTGTCGTCGGATTTATCACCAAGTACGTACCATTTAACAATTCAAAATATTTTTCCACCATAAATCTTTAACAAATAACTCGAGAGCGACTCGATAGCAACCCGATTCATCCAAGTGTTCATTTGATGATAGTCGATCGTTGGTCCACCAAAATTAGTCATCGATCAATCATCAATCAATACTCCACCAAGTGAACAATCTCTCAATCGAGTGATCCCTCGTAGAATAGTGACAATGTGGAAAATTGAGGCAATAATTTCCGCGGATTTTCAATATATTTAAAATTGCATTTAAAAAAAATTGCAAAATTGCAATATATTTAAAATTGTATTTGACGTTAAGTTTTCATGATGAACCTGCATTTTTTTTATTCATTTAAATTTTCAATTTGAATTAGGATTGATTTTCAAAGATAAACGGAAATTTATCGACTGTTTTGAATTAAAATTCAATTCTAATTTACTTGCTTGGAAATTCAGATAACTTTGGAAAGGAAATTTCACTTTTTTCCTATTTTAAAAATTTATCATTTTTATCACTCATCAGAACGAATTTTAGTGATTATTTTTTCCCGCCAAATTTCAGCTAATAGAATTGCACCATTTGACGAGGTTACTCGGTATTATACTGATAATTTTTCGATAATTTTGTCACTTACCTATCCTCATCATGAAAGCAGAGATACGTAAACGAAGTTCGCCTGAGTCGAAACTCGTAAAACTGATTCCTTATTGGTCAACTCGAATCCGAAGTCGAAATTCGAATTCGGCGCACGGAGTGCGCAGTAGATCTCGTCAATATAAAACAAAAAACTAGTGGATTGGGTTAACCACTGATTGGAATCGACAGATTGAATTCAATTGTGTTATTTATCGAGTATTTCTTGAAAAATGAATAAATTTGGTGATTCTTCTCTATCAAAGATAGATAAGGAAGTGAAGGGAAATCTTCAAGGATCTAATCTGAATATGAATTAAAATATCTTGTGTTTCTCAAATAGCTTTCCTCATTTTTGAATATAAAGTTCGTCTCATGGTGCAATTCTACTGACTGAAATTTGGCGGGAAAAATAATCTCCCGAATACCACTCGAGCTTTGAAATTTACGGAAATATTTACCTCAAGGTTCCCTGCACACAAATGAGTTTATTAAGTTTTCCAGAAAGATTTTTTAACCTGGAAAACTTAATGCACTCATTTGTTTGCAACGCATCTATTGGTAAATATTCCGATAATTTCAAACCTCTCGTGGTGTTATAAGCTTTAATTCTTCTCAGTTATAGTTTCGACTTCCATTCGCAATGTTGTTTTCTTCACTTGTAATTAAATGGTAATTAGCTATGATAACACCTTCAACTTTTTTCCCGGACAAATGCTAATTTCTTGTAGCACCAATTATGTAGAAAATGACTCGTTAGTAATTCTTCGGAGTAGTAATACACAATTATACACTCATTATCGAATTAATAAAGGAATTTCAAGATGAATATTTTACTTGTAGGCTACAACTGTCAATCGCAAACCGCACAACCACAAGTGATGTCTTTGTCAGTGGATCCGAAAAACGTGTACAATCCACCAGATACACTGCAGTACCCAGGAATTGAGGAGGACGTACAGGCACGTGCAGACAGTCCACCGAGTACATCGTCGAGTCACAGTGATTTGAGTAGTCCAAGTTTTAATCGGGATTCTGAGTTAGAATTGATACCAAAGAGCCAAGAACAATTTCAACTCCCGAAGCACGTAAGATAATACAAGCAGTGTTTGGACGTCTATGTTATTTACTAAATTTCTTTGTGTAAAATATCATTAGAATCATCGATTCTCAAGGAATCATCTCATTGATCAATTGGCATTCGAATGTATTTCAGTTATTCAGACACTGCTCAATAGATTTCATTAGATTTTTATTGGAAACTTTAGCATTTATTTTCCATTGCATGGAAAACTCACAATACAGCGAGCAAAAGGTTTCTATGAAAATTCCAATGAAGTCTATTAAGTATACTTACAGCAAAAAATATTAGCAACATGACGTACGACTTGGATGATGTCGGTCATTCAGGTAGGATAGAGCTAGGTAAATCGATTCCGGCAAATTTATCCCAGGAAAAATCATCGCAGAAAAAATAAATTAAGGGAAATTCAGACAATAATTTATTGAACATGTTCAATGAAAATTCTTCAAACTTGAAGAGTAAAACCAATAGCGTAAAATAACGTAACGCAAGTACGAAGAACAAATAGTAACATTTGAACTTGAAAACGTCACAATTCGAATATCAATATTGTTAAATAAATGTTAATTAGATAGTTTGTAAATTAAAGCCGCGTTCGTTCGTGGATTCTGATGTAAAAAGGAAAAATAACGATTCAATCGAAGGATGATCGTACATGAATGTCGACAGTGTACAGTATAATTCAAAAGGTAACATTTTCAGCGCAAATTTCACAAGAAGTTAGAGCGTGGGGTTTCTGCAGACGTCTGAATTCAATAATCGATTTCATTTCTGAAAAATGAATAATCAAACCAATCCATAATGACACAGCGGTAATCCCAAAATACTCAACAAACAACTCAAAAATAAGAATGAAAAAAGATTATGAAATAAAATTAAGGGCCGGATGGAGTATCTCGGAAAGATAATTTACTCCAAAATTGGGATGCCTAATTACTCCGCCAATTAATTGTTTTCTCCGATAATTGTTAGCTAGCGTTCTAGTCGTTGACAACCGCTAGAACACTAGCTAACAATTATTGAAAAAAAAAACGATTAATTGCCAGAGTAATTAGGAATCCCAACTTTGAAGTAAATTATCTTTTCCAGATAATCCAACCGGTCTTTAAAGAGAGAACAAAACGGGATGGAGTAATGAGAGGATAAGATTTCTTGTGATGAATTATCGTGGGATAAATTCACCGAGCACTAGGTAGGATAGAGTCGGGATCATCGCGCATTGGTAGTTTCCAGCACCAGATAGTTCTACACAAAACTTTGTATTCTTCTCACTAACTAATTACTTCTAGACATTCAATAGAATATAGGATAGTATAGGAAACCATTAAAATTCGATGAATTATGCATTTATTTCGACAGTCATTAACTTTAGACGGCAATGAACAATTTTCTTTTTCAAGCAGAACAATTATATTCATAAAAAATCGCTCTTCATGATACTGATAAAACTGTTGATTAACTGCAAAATTACCTTAAGTGTTGGAGTTCATTCAACTCAAACTTCACGTTTCATTAGCTTTTTGTTACTCCCTCTAATACAGATTGAATAGAAATCTCTCTAGAGTGAATGAGACTGGAGAAAAGCACGAGTAACGAAAAGTTAATAATCCTTATCATGAAAGCAGAGATACGTAAATGAAGTTCGCCTGAGTCGAAACTCGTAAGACTGATTCCTTATTGGTCAATTCGAATCCGAAGTAGAAATTCGAATTCGGCGCACGGAGTGCGCAGTAGATCTCGTGAATTTTAAGCGATAACTTTGAGAGAGAAGATCGATCTGCTAAAAAAAGCTTTTCAATCACTGCGTCTAACCATTGATCCTAGAAATAATTGTATAATCACCGAGACGTTTAGGAAGGATTAGGTGAAATTCTCCCAATACCAATTCGCCAAATGCAACTTTTAATAATGATAATTCGCCTAACGGTGCGATTTGATTGAAATCGTTTCCCCTAAATCTCAATTCGCCTCAAAATCATTTCGCTAAATTCATGATTCGTCCAATGTTCTGATCGCGTGGATATCACCCAAAATCAATGAGAAAATAAGAAAAACAAATTAATAAAACAACACTAGACACACAGCAGAAGACACTATTTCGAAGCAACACAACTATTTTTCAACTAATTAACAATTAAACGTATTTTCATATACATTTTTTTTCTAGCTCTCATCTTTTTCTTTAAAAAAGTGTATGCTAAAAATTCGCCTTGTTGAAAATGTTCCTTCAATTGCGAGATATTGGCTAAAAACTGGACTCGAAAATAATGCACTTATTCTAGTTTACCACTTCGCTACTAAATTGAGAGTTAAGTGAAATGATTTTAGGAAATTGACATTTAGCGGAAATATAATTAGGTAAAGTGGCATCTGACGTATCGGTATTCGCTGAATAGTCCAGATACCGTTTACGATACACTCGACCCATTCTGTCAACTCGCCATTTGCCTCTTGTTCATTGTTAGCAATGAAGACACCCATAAAAACCTCGTTATCTGTCGCTTCTACTCCTGGCTTTTCCTGATATCACTGAACTCTATCAAACACTAAATGTCATGAAAACAAATAGGAAGCTCTCTCCTTCTACAATCAAAACTTCCACATAAATCCTCATATTCTTTTTGAATGTTCTCTCAACAGCAGCCAGTGTCGATAATTCCGAGCTTGGAGAGGCAACCGAGCACCGGAAATGTAACGAGTAAGACCTCGAGCTTCAGCAGCCCAATTGGACCTGTATTAAGTCGTCAGGTCAGTGAAAACACATCTCCTCGGAGAAGCTTGACAGGAATGCCACCGGACATTCCTCCACAACCGCCAATTCCCCAACGGCAAAATAGTGGAAATTCAGGAAGTGGTAATGGAGTTCTTAGACAGGGCTCTCAAGGCTCTCTCTTTGAGCAGATCGCTCATCAAGCTAAGGATCTAGTCAGGGAAACTACGAGACAAAGTAGTCAGGATGGATTTTTAGCTCACATGGATAAATTTAAGCATCATGCAAAAGAGAAGATCACCGAGGCTGGTGAGGACAGCCCTTTTGCAGCTTTCGAGCATTTGACTCAGCAGACAAAGAAAGCGGTTGATGGTGCCACCAAATCAGTGCAGGAGGCATCGAAAAGTGCAATGGAAGCTGGAAAAACTGCTGCTGGTGTTAGTAAGAATACTCTAGATGACTTGACCTATGTTGGCAAGAGTACTATTGGAGATTTGACGAAAAGCGCTAAGGAAGTTGCTACCAAGAAAGGTTTATTGAAGGTAATTATGCCGCCATTTGTCAAAAACTTGCGCTAAACACAATGGATTGCAAAAACTTCTTCAAGACTAAGTCGAGAACAAGCTAGAGTTGAAATACCTTTATCAAAAATGAGTAACCACAAAAAAACAGAACAAAAACAAACGGGTTTTTGCCGACAATATTTTTAAAGATAGATTTTTCAGAATGAAGTTTAAAATTCGAAAGTCATTTTAGTGGGAGATTAAAAAAAATTATTTTTACTATATTTAATTTTTTTTCGACAAAGATTTTGCGACCAAGTTTTTGGATATATTCTCTTCAGTTCACGTTCAATAATAAAATTCTAAGAATAATTCTAAGACTGTTTTTTTTGGTACAGAGCTTGGGAGACTCTCAGCAATCTCCACCACACACTCCTCCCTCTCCGAGCATTCAACAGCGAAGAGATGTCAACAATTCTCAATTGGTAGCTCCAGAAACCCGAGCAAAACGGGACATCGGTCGAGACTTCTTCAGCAACGTCAGCAGTGATATAAACGGCATAGCAGCACAAACCAGCGATATGTTCAGTGGTTTATTCGGCAATAAAGGAGCGAATAAAAATTCTGGTCTTTTGGGTCAGGGGCAGAAAGGCAAAAATAAGCCATCGGCTTTTGGACCATTCCGAAGAGGAAAAACTGGAAGCGTGGAGAAAACATCTTCTATAAAGCACTCTGCAAGTAGAGATAGTAGAGAAGATTTACAGAGAATTCAGAATACGGAGAGAACGAATACTAATAGTGACAATCAGGCATTTTTAACGGATGTGGTACATCAGGTTTTGGCAGGTGAGGGGGTGGGATTTTTCAAGCTCAATCGGTTGAAGAAACTTATGGAGGATGAGAGCTATCGGGATCTCGTTGTTACTAAATTGAACAAAGGATTGAATCGGCGAATCAGTCCTGATGATCATATCGATGACGTGGTAAGTTATATCATTAATTTTTGTCTTCTAGATTATAGATTTGATTAAGAATGTTCTGCCGGTATTTTGTTATTCTTCCCGTTTTTCTGAGATTTATTGAAAACTATCGATCGGATTGGGATATGAAAATATAGCGTTTGTCCTTTACATCATCATTTATCCTTTCACACAGTTTCATCCCGATACACCAATTTTTATAACTTTTCACCAAAATTTATTGATTTTTTATTAAATTTTAGTGAAAAGTTACAAAAATTAGTGTAGCGGGATAAAACTTTATGAAAGAGTTAATCATGATGTAACGGACAAATGCTATATTTTCTGGCGACCCGCCAGTCCCCTGGGACTTTCCCTTTTTTTTGTTATAGCATTGAGGAAATGTCTCACAGCAATAAAGAAACAAATATTTATTAAATCCGGAAATATAAGAACTAGAAGAGTGAATTTTGAACTCGGGGGAAAACCCCGAAATCCAACAGAAATCTTCTTGAAAAATGGAGAAATCGATTTTCTGACGACTTCGAGAGTTATATATTGAAATTACACTTGTCAGAAACTATTTTTTTTAGTTAGTGTAATAGTGAAATATAGGCGGAAGCCAGGTAAAATGGGACACTGGCAAAGAAACGTTTTTAACTCATTCCCTGTTATTTTTTTTGCTAAAAAATATCGGAGACAGTCTAAAATTTATTTTTCCTCTTAATCCTGTATTTTTCTTACTATTTTTAATTTTTCATTATTCTCAAAAAATACGCCACCTGATCATAAGATTTCTTATATAGGAATTTAACATTTTTTTATCAGTCAAGCATAAAAAAAGTCTGGAAAAACTGAGATGCTGAATAGTGGTAAAATTTTTACTATCGATTTTTTCAACTCATCTCCCATTGAATCTCCTGATTCGTCCCATTTAACCCTTTCATTTCGTTTTATCTGGTGACTCATGTAGCGGGGTCTCTCCTAATTATAATTATTTAATGTTTCAGTGTATTTCTCGAGGAATCTACAAAGGAATGTTCATGTGCCTTCAAGCAGTTGCCCACGGTCTCGCTTACACCTACAATAATTTTGGTCTCGGTGGTATGGCCTCGGTTTTCCAACTGATGGAAATTGCTCACACCCACTATTGGAGTAAAGATCTGTCGGAGGGAGTATTTGAAGGACCGCTTATGCTTCAAACAACTTCATACGGTAGTCATGATAGTTTAAGATCTCATCCACCATCAAAGCAATCAGAATACGGTGAAGTAACAAGAAAATTATCATCCCAAGATCCTTCGCAAGTGCGTCTCGAAATTTCTCATGCTTCGTCGGCACCGGCAAACTCTGACAATAATCAATCGACTACGGATTTATTCCTCGATATGTTTTCGAAGAAGGGCAAGTTACTAAGTAAATTAGCATCGTTCGATTCCGAAGTGAGTATCAAATGACTTGAGCAAAATAGTTTTAATCATTACACCACCGAATAATTAACCCGATGAGAGAACATCAAAAGTCTTTCTTTTTACACTTCACCATTATGAATAATTATTTCAACTCGGATTTCCGCCAATCAGAGCGCAGGATTCGTGGCCGTCGAACAGTTTCATTTCAAAAATTTATAAATAATTTCGTTGTACCAGTGACAGCTCAAAAAGTCAGTCCTCTGGTTTTTCTCAATTATTTATAATCTGCCCTTCATTAAATTAAACGTCCCAATGACAAACCGAGAACTACTGATACAAGCTTGAATTTAAAAAACGGTCTCAAGACAAAAAAAGATATGTTGAATATACTGTGTGAGATGTCCAATACTCTCGGAAATCACTAGAAGCCGAGACATTAATAAGCAAAGCTCTATGAGCTCTTTGAGTGTCACTTGCCTCCTCTAAAATTTTTCTCAAATCGATCTTCTGTATGATTGTGATGTATCCGGAAGCTATTCACTGCACTGTGCTCAGCCGAAATCCGAGTGGAAGAAGAATCCGACATATACCACTCGTGCGTCAAAATTAATCGGATATTGCCCCGAAACTTCTCCAGCTAGGAACGCGTGTAACAATTATGGCAGAAGAAGAAAATTGATAGAATTGTGTTTAGGCAACGAAGCTATCCAAAAATATGCGATAATTTTGAAGCACTGGTAACCACTGAAGAATCATTTTCCGGAATTTCTATGGAAATAGGTAATTATCGGGACAGGTGCATTGATTTGAAATTCCGTAATTCACAGGGGAATAAAAGTTCATCAGCACTCTCGAGTGATTCTCAATCATCAGAGAGAATTAGTATATTGAATCATCCAGCATTTAGACCAGCCAATCAATCATCAATTCGGAGTGCTGTATCTGACAGCGAAGTGGATGGTAATAGTCGTGACAAGCGTTCAGGAAGCATATGGTCCAGTAAATCATCACTCAGCACGGGCTTCAGGTACCACGGAGGTAATTTAGTGACAACAGCAAATACTCCAAGTCCTGAGGCAGCCAGGACATATTTGTTTGAAGGTAATTTTAAATTTATTAAAAAAGAAGATATTGTATTTGAAGTAAAATATTATTAATCATCCCCTCAAATGATTTATTTGAAAGGTTTATTGGGAAAAGAACGCTCTCGATTATGGGACCAAATGCAATTTTGGGAGGATGCATTCTTAGATGCTGTGTCTCAGGAACGTGATATGATGGGAATGGATCAAGGACCAGGCGAGATGATGGAGAAGTACAAATGTTTGAGTGATAGCGAGCGACGAAGACTTGAACACGATGAGGACAGACTACTCTGCACTCTGCTCCATAATTTAACAGCTATTTTGGTGATGCTGAATGTTAATAAACTCGAAGTGAAGAGAAAAATTCGAAGATTACTTGGAAAAAGTCATATCGGATTAATTTACAGTCAAGAGTTGAATCAACTACTTGATCAAATTGATAATTTGGTAAGGAGGATTTTTTGTTTGTGTATTTATCTGTTATTGTTAAGTATCACAAGAAAATTATAATTAATTCTGGATTTTAGCATGGAAATGACATTGATCTGAAGCCACTGACGTCTCGACAAATGCACAGGCAATCGTTTACCGTCCATGCCGGTACGGATGCCGACGGCGAACTCCGTTTTCTCGAAGTACGGCATGACGGACTTGTTTTGAGATCGGTAAACGGTGTAATTGTCGAGCGTTGGTGGTACGAGCGTTTAGTCAACATGACCTGCAGTCCCAAGAAGAAAGTACTGTGTCTGTCCAAGAGGAATGGAGATCAACTGGAGTTGCATAATTATTATGCCAAAAAAGTGAGTACCAAAACAGAATGATTAAATCCTCAAAGTTAAATCGCAAATCCGCAAGAGACTCGTTTGGTTCGGACCAATTGGGGTTTATTTATTATAATAAATAAATGTGGAATAAATTAGTGGATATTTATCTTCTTTAAGGCTCGGATGAATTATCTAGAAAAGATAATTTACTCCGAAATTCGGATTCCTAATTACTTTGGCAATTAATCGTTTTTTTCAATAATTGTTAGCTAGCGTTCTAGCGGTTGTCACCAACTAGGCCGCTAGCTAACAACTATCGGAAAAAACGATTAATTGACGGAGTAATTAGAAGTCCCAATTTTGGAGTAAATTATCTTTTCCAGACAGTCCATCTGGGCTTTAAAGTGCTTTGCACATTTGCACTTATCGTTAAGTCTTCGGATCAAGAAAACTCGGAAAACTTGGAAATAAATAATTTAGACGGATAAATGAACTTTAGGTAATCGTTAATTTAAATTACATGAGAACCATGGCCGAAATAATGGAATATGAAACTGAATTGGAAGATGTAGATCCTATGTTTATTACATATTTATTAATATCCCCTAGATTAAAAGAGCAAGGGATTTTTTATCTGTTTCAATCTCAACCAGTACGAGTTGATTTTTTACCAATGCTCGATTTGGCTTAAAACAGAGTGGTCGCCTTACTAAGAATCTAAATGGCGTAAAAAATCGGACACCTCGTTAATTCTTTCGTGATCCTGTTAAAAGTTAAATAAAATGGGAGTTGTATAATAGGATAACAGAAGAATTGAGGAGTTACCTGACGCTTTCCGCCATTTTATGGGCCGCCTTTTTAAGAATTAAAATGGCAGAAAAATGAGGTAATCCTTCAATTCAATTATATTATGATTAATTTTCAGCGAAGCACTAATTCTTGACGAATGTGCGCCACTGCAACTGTTTAAAAATTCATACCTTCGAGTATATATTATATATTATTATATTATATTCAATGACGTATCCTATCTAAGCTCCTAGCTAATCCTATCTCCTGAAAAATACTTAATTTCATTGTAAGATCCATATCGGCTAAAAAATATGGGAATATCTTTTCCCAGTAGTTAAAAATAAAATAGTTATCGAGTGTTCATTGATGAATTAGGCGCAATTGTTTACCACGTTTGGGAATTGTTGCAGTGAGTTGTTAAAATTTAATGAATCTTTTTTTTATTTCTGCAGTGCAAAGATCTCTATTATTGTATAAAAGATGCAATAGAAAAAGCGGCAGCCAGAGGTCGGGCAAATCTTAATGGCGAGCTTGGTGATGAATTTCCTGTTCAAGACATGCGAACTGGCGAGGGTGGACTTCTTCAAGTTTGTCTTGAAGGTGTAGGTCTACTTTTTGCTAATAGCAAGGTACGAGACGTTCTTCATGCATACTTCACATTAATCTTCACTGATTTTCTGCCTATATTTTTCCCGTTTTTTTACTTTCAGTTCTTTTTTTGTTCTTATAAATCAATTCTTTTATCCTACTCGTATATTAGTTGGACTATTAACAGAAACGATGAAAGCGAGGAAAACTATTATGCGTAACTGATCAACTTAACTATCAAAGGTTATAGAAGGTAATAGACGACTGAATAACACGAAAAGCTGCAAAAGATGGGTCAACTATTAGAAGATAATTATAATAAAAAAGCATCTAGAGAATATTCCTTAAAAATAGAATCAATCACACTGAAAGTTCAGGAATTATTTTTATACCAAGTGTTCCTTCAGAAACAGTGCGAGCAAATGTATATTGAAGGAAGCAGATAGTAATAAAATATTCAAAACACATGTTGTATTGTTTCAAAGAAGACTTGGTAAATGTATGGTTTAGGTCCACCAAAAAAAATCATTGAAATATCAATTTTCTCTGATAAAAAATCCATTCTTATCCTCTCAGTTCCCATTAACAAGACGAAAGAAGAGAGTGAAAAACAACAAGGAGGTCAATACATCGAAAAATAATCCTGAAGTAAACTCTGGTGTCCCTGAAATTCCTTAAAACCCCCCTTCCCCCTGCTATCGCTGTTGACGTGACGAGTCAATGATATTAAATTCAATATTTTGAATTTCTACAGAAGGGTAGCGGCGGATAAATCACTCGTTGTGTTCAGTCAGCGATGGTAGATGGTAGTGAGAGGTGCATTCAGAGTTTTAGTGAAATGCTCAGGACTATTTGATGAAATCCATCTTTCTGTGTGTCCATTGTCTATAAATGTGCTAACATGTGGTGTCTTTGGGGCCGACACACCGCCACGTCCTCGCCGTGGCCCTGGATAACGCAAAGAGCGGTGTATTAAATGTCATATCTCCTATACTAATTGTTTCCGGATAAAAAAGTGACCAGATCCTTAATTAGGTAACGGAAACTCATCCAATCAAATAAAAAACATCCAGAATGGTTTGGTGGACCTGAAGTAGACACTTACCAAACATAATAATGATAATAATAATCAAATCCTCATTTAATTAATTACTCAAATAGTATAACGATAATTACTAAAGCGAAATATAAACATTTGAATTCATCGATAATCAATAATGTGGCAGTAATCAATTATCTCGGCAATCAGCTGAATTTTCGTAATTTCAAATTTTTAAGAAAAATTTAGTAAAGAATTTTTTAAGGGCCAAATCATAGGAAGGAAATTATTGTATGACGAATTATGTCGCGGTAATTCTGACACGGAAAATAACTCACATTCGAGGGAATGAATAATCTATTGAAATGAAATAGAAAGTTGTCATAACACAAAATATTTTTTGCAATTGAAAGAGTGGTTACCCTTGAACCTCCACAACTTGTGTTTCGAAAATTTTTTAACTTGACCTCTTCCGGATTGATTTGGTTACACTGTTACAGACGGATATTCTCTGTAAGTTCAGGATTGGTCTTTTATTTATTCTAATAATTTCTTGTTAGTTCCATTGCTTCATTTTACTCATTTACCATTCTCGTTGTATTTTATTTCTATTCTTTCGCAAGGACCATTCAAGACAACTTAAAGCCCTCCTTTGAAATTTAAAGAGAGACCCATTCATAATTAAAATTGATTATAAATTGCTGACAACTTATAAAAGACATTCAAGAATTCCATTTTCACTGACTTTTATCTCTCTTTCTGTCACGAAGCATCCTATAAAAGTTATTTACTTAAAAAAAAATTACTCTTGGTTCTTCCTGAACATTGAAGTCAGAAATCAAAATGGAACAGTGAATAAAATTCTTCAATTGATTAATATTTACTTTTCATTAAACGATTAATTTATAACCCTTTAAAACTATTTCTAAATGTTTTTCTTGCATGGAGCTCGATGTGCAGCAGCAGTCTCTCTTTTATCTGTAACCAAATAATACTATGACATATCTATGATATGGGCTGTTCCACCAATGATCGTATGGAAATCCGGCTTCAAATTTTCCAACTGTTTTTTAAATTGTTTTTTTTTTCAATTGCATGAACGGAGAGATCTGTCGAGTTTTGAAGATCAGTCATTGGTCATTATGTAATAAATAAGATTTTTTGGTAATATTATTATGACCATTTCGTACTGAAATGTTCAACTTTTGCAAACCGTCAAATGCTTATTCAAAAATTTTAGAGATAAAAAATAATTTAACAAAAAAAAATTCTAAAAGTTCGAAATAAATCCATTAATTTTAGAAATTTTTTAACCTTACTACTTTTTTCATCGTAGTAAATTCAGTCGTCATTTTGAGTTGTTTTTATAATATGGAAATTCTCCTATTTTCAATAATTTTTTAATTATTGAAAATAAGAGAATAAATTTTAATAAAAATTTCGAAACCGCAATTGTTTAGTTTGACTATTTTAAATTTTTCAATATGGAGCAAATTCAATACTAGATCTTAATTGGATTAATTTTCAATTCAAAGTTAGGATTGAATTTATTATTGAGGATGTTCCACTCACAAATAGCCAAAATTTACGTTTTTAAATTATTGAAAATAAAAGAATAAATTTGAATAAAAATTTCGGAACCACAATTGTTTAGTTTGATTATTTTAATTTTTTAAATATGCAGCAAATTTAATACTAAATCTTAATTGGGTTAATTTTCAATTCAAAGTTACGATTGATTTATTATTAAGGTTGTTGTCGCGCGACAGTCTCTGTAAAAAGTTTATCCGCTGTAAAACGGGCCAGTTTAGAACACAATCTTTTAGCGATATATAGTCTCACTTGATTGATTGCATTGTGCATGGATAGCTAAAGCATAACTATATATTTTCCATATTAACTATTTTCAATTATATAAATTTATGAATTTCCGATAATTATATTCCGTAAACCAAACGGTCAATCGATTTGATTTTTTTTCTGTATTTCCTCCCACGATGTATATTCCACGTTTTTTTTATTTCTGAAACTGTCGAGCCGTTGATTTTTAAAAAATTCTAATCGGCAAAACTCCATTTAAACACGTGTTAAATCACTCGAATTTCAAAAATTTATATCTCAAGTTCAAAACGGTCAATTGCAAACGAAAAAGGCTCATTTTGTTGCTAATTTTTCAAACTATTCACCATAAAATTTTTAACGAAAACTGTCGGAAAAAAATTCTACGCGACAACAACCTTAAGGGCGTTCCACTCACCAATAGCCAAAATTTAAGTTTTCAAAATTTCTTGGCAAATTATCGACGGTATTGATGTAAAAAAGTATAACATTTTGCCGTTTTGTCGTAATATAATATAATGTTATCTAATGGCTTACGAAGTTTTATGGTGGTATGATCATTTTCATGCATTTTCTCTTCAATTTTTTGATTACTCTTAAAAATTGAGAAAAAACGGAGAAGAACGGTTGCACAACCTTGAAACTTCGTGAATCATTAAATAATAATTCATGTCAATTCCATAATTAAGTTTCTCAGAAAAATAAAAAAAAACGTTGACTTTGGCTGTATATCCCTGACACCCTTAAGGTTGTTGTATCGTAAAATTTCAGTTCGACAGTTTTCGGTATAAATTTTCTAGTAAATAGTTTAAAAAAATAGCCCATTCCGTTTGTAGTTGACATTTTTGAAAATCAAATGATTTAACGCGTGTTTAAACAGAGTTTCACCGATTAGAAATTTTATAATATCAACGGCTTGACAGTTTTCCAAATTAAAAAAAAATGGAATATATATAGTAGGAGGGAATACAGAAAAAAATCAAATCAATTGACCAGTTGGTTTACACGATATAATTATCGAAAAACCATAAATTTATATAATTGAAAATAGTTAATATGGAAAATATATAATTATGCTTTAGCCATCCATGCACAATGCAATCAATCAAGTGCGACTATATACCGTCAAAAGATTGTGGTCTAAACGCTCGTTTTACAGCGGATAAACTTTTTGCAGAGACTATCGCGATACAACAACCTTAAGAAACGATGAATATAAATATAAAAATTTCAAAAATTATCAATTTTTTTCGAACATTTGTTTTTTCATTTGTGGCGAGAACCGTGTTTGTGAAATAATTCAGAGAACCAGATTTGAATCCCGAAAGTGGGATTTTTCTTCTCTCCAAATTTTAATTCTTTGAGTGGATCCCACAAGAATAGTCATCTCTGACTAAAGATTTTTTATTCTTACCATTGAATTCTGTGAGCCTTCATGCATTACAATTCACGGACAGAAAACTCCAATAAAACTTACCCAAAGAAATTTATAAAATTTATGAACTGTTACATAAAAATTCTTGAACATAATGATTTGTGAAATCTCTGTTGGATTTTACAGTTTCCAGAAAAATTAGGACAGACCCAAAAACTGAACGTTTTAATTTTTTCCTTATATTTCTATGGAAATTCATCAAAAATCATTATCGCTTGGTGATTACGTGAAATATTCCATTGTTTTTCTTGACAAGTTTTCTGATGATTTCCTGCTCAGAATCCCGGAGGGAATTTTTCCAACGGTGAAAAATACTTTTTACCATTTCCTTATCATGAAAGCAGGATAGGTAAATGAAGTTCGCCTGAGTCGAAACTCGTAAGGCTGATTCCCTATTGGTCAACTCGAATCCGAAGTCAAAATTCAAATTCGGCGCACGGAGTGCGCAGTAGATCTCGTGATTAATCATCTTTGCGAAGTTTTTGATAATTTTAATCCAAGCTATGTTCAAACTGTTCTTCAAGAGGATTATAAATTTCTAAGAGCATAATTCAATATTCGAATGAAATATTAAAGATTGAAAGGACTAATTTGGATGAGATTGATGGGAACTATTGAAATCCTACACAGAAAGAAAAATACCGGAAAAATTACGGAACTTTCACGTATTCCTGGCGTGACCTTGGTTTTAAGGGAAAAATACTGTAAATTCCGTAAAATTTTTCGTATCGAGCAGGAATTTTTACGAAACTTTCAGGACAATTTTACGGTACCTCCAGTACTTTTTCCGAAAAGCAAGGTCACCCCACGAATACGTGAAAATTCCGTAATTTTTCCGGTATTTTTCTCTCCGTGTAGGAAAATTGAATTGAAGGATGATCGAGCGAGATAGAGGGAGTAAGAAAATGATGGATTCATTAAGGAATGATTTCCAAAATTTCAGATAGCCTAGATAGCAGGTGGACAATTAACTCAGTATTTTTCCTACCTTGCCGACTGGTCGGACTGGCGGGAAGTAGAGAGAATTTAAGGCCCGGATGGACTGTCTGGAAAAGATAATTTACTCCAAAATTGGGACTTCTAATTACTCTGTCAATTAATCGTTTTTTCCGATAAATGTTAGCTAGCGGCCTAGTTGTTGACAACCGCTGGAACGCTAGCTAACAATTATTTTAAAAAATGATTAATTGCCAAAGTAATTAGGAATCTGAATTTCGGAGTAAATTATCTTTTCTAGATAATCCATCCGAGCCTTAACAGTTATCAATCGCCCATGTAATCTCATGTAGGGGCAGCAACTATACGATTTTTTTCTGCTGTTACCCTGCTCTCAGGCTATGTCAAATTTTGCACATCATTGTAAAATAATTTCATCGATGAATGAAAAAATTTGCATAATATTGGCTGCATTTCATTTTCTTGATTACACATTTCTCGCTTGATTATTCTTAAATGTCACAGAAGCAGAAAATGTAGGAACATAATTTTTATCCGAAATGTCTCAAATTTTCTGAAGAAAAATGAATTTTGAGATAAAACGGCGAACTCTCCAATTCCAGTGACAAAACTTGTGAGAACTTTCCACGTCAGATTTTCATATTTGGTTGAACCGCCCATCTTTTCTTTCTCTGTTTTATATTCCCGTTATTTTTTGGTCGATTAGAGGATTAAATCAGAGATAAACTCCACATCGATTGCTGTTTCTGAAAAATTATACTATCAATTTTTACTCGTTATCCGATCAAGATTATATATATATATATTTTTTCGTATTGGATGTTGAATGCCTATTAAATATTACATAACTATTTGGATTGATAATGAAAAAGAGCAAATCTTTTACGTCTGGTATTCCAATTCGCTAGGAAAAGTCTATTTAAATAATTGATGTTATTCTTTCTGTAGCAATTGATTAGATTTTTTTCTATGCCCATTTAATAATCATATGAAAATATTATTGTTCTTTTATGTAAACAATGCAAAAATAGACTTTTTTCTACTTCTTTCGGGAACTTTTGAGATGGTCCTTGAATAGTCATTTGTTGAATATTATTAATAACATTGAAAGTTGAAACAACTATAAGTAGCGGTGTATATCAGACAATAATTTTTATATAGGCAAAAAAAAGGAAAAAAAATTTATTCATTTCTTACTCTACTCTTTCTGTTTTTGTCCTGTCTCACGACATTGCCCTCGCTGGACAAACAGGATTTTGAGGTATTGAAAATAATCAAGTGACTCATTGTTACAATTCAATATATCCATTAATTTTATAACTCAGTGTTGGCCGTTATTTATCATTATTATTTTTACCATTTAAAAAATTTATCCATAAATGCTTATTTATCATTTTATATTATCTATATTAGTTTTTTTTTATATAGCCGTGCTAAGAGTATTTGACTACATACCCTTTTTCAGAATTACATAGCATTACATTCTACAAATAGAAATGCTCTCTCCTACTTGACTGTTTACCACTAAAATTGGTGTTAGTTGTGATTAAATGTTTTTAAATAATTCTAATATTGAAATGAGATGAAATCGATTGAACCAATTCAAGTCAAAATTTTTTAACTAGGTCATCGATTATTATTCATTATTAAGTGAATTTTCACATAAATTTTTTCTGGAGGCAGTGCAAATTAAGGAATTCACTGGCAAATAGAAAAGTAGCTGCATGATATTGGCGATTATCAAAATTTGCACAATCTCCATAGAAAACAAAAGGATCCATCAAAAAAATTTGTAGTTGTGCTAGTTTTTTTGTTCGATTTTCATTTACATTAAGTTATTTGCTAAATTGAATTTAGAGGTTTGACATCGAAAACTCAAATCCCTTCTGTATGTTTTCGTATTTGCTATTCTTCGGGGAAAATACAGAAACTAAAGGGATGATTCATGCAGTGGCGAAATAGACCAAGAGACCGGATGATAATAAGATTTTTTCCTCGACAAAAAAAATCCATTTTCCATTTTCCTTTCACTCTGATAAATAAGAATAGCAATTTGTAACAGTCGATATAAAAAATACATAACTAAAAATAACCATGAGGATAAAAAAGATGGACCCGCGAAAATCCATTTAAAAATCGAGTATCGAGTCTCAAACAATCGATCTTTTAACCATCACTTCTTAATTGACAACCCTTATTTAAAAATAAAAAACTCTTACTCAAAAATATATTTTTGAGACTGGTAAATTAACAAAATAATGCTGAATATTTTCTCTTTATATTTCGCCGCTTTATGATTCATTCAATTTTTAATGTAAAATTAATGAAAAAAAATATATAATATATTAAATAAGTGCGCTACTAGCCTGCATAGAGGCCCTAATTAGAAAGCAATGGATTGAAACAATGGGTTGGTCCATGGCACCATAACACTATGTTTTTTCGATGTTCCTATATTACACTAATACACTCCACGAATTCCAATAGAAGTAGCATGTAAAATAATGACTAGAAAAAAATCCAGATTCAACTGAATAATCAAAGAAATATTGAGATATTGACAGGAGAGAAAAATCTTTCGTTTGCATCGAGGATAGTTATTAACTAGCTGACTATTCTTCACCGCTCGTTTATCGAGAAAAACACACATTCCGTTGCACACATGGCACCAAGAATTCAAAGCTATTAATTAATTACGTTCTGATAAGTTTAGGCCATCTCCAGAGTTGCCTGTCACTGCCTCACCTTATCCTTTGGTGAAGAACATTTATTTATTTTTTTTTTCAAATTAATACGCTAACTGTTTTTCCTACAATTCACATCAAGCAATTGCGTTTGTGAACAGAAATGTGCATGCTACGCTGATTTCCCATGCATGAGTAATTAGTAGTATTGTAATGATGATGCACACTTCACCTCTAATTATTTGTGTTTCCAATAGTTTATCTAAAATTGCTGATGAACTCATAGAAAAACAAATTTATTGAAGAGAAACTGAGAAGTGAATTGAGAAAAAATCTCTTGACTTTCGAGTCGAAATTGAAAATTTCAATGGCACTATTAAAAAATTCATTATTTCACGTAGAAATATTCATCAGTTGGTGGTTCATGAATTGAGAGGATTTTATTGAACGACAAAGTGAATATGAAAACGCATGTGATGTTTTTTGTCGGCATTTAAACGTATTTATTAATTCAATATCGATTGATTTGCAGTTCTTTGTAAGAATTGATCACATCCGCAAGTGCTTCGCCCAGGAGGGGGGTGTTTTCGTGTTGGAGCAATACAGTAAGTTTAATAATTCATTTTTCATTTTATTTTATTTTATTGAAAATTATAGGACATAATAATTATAAATTATTTTTCCCTTTTACAGATCCAAAAAATCGACAGATTATTCAACGCAAATATATATCTCCGATGGTGAGTAATTTATTATTCACGAATCAAATATGCAGATCTCACACTCTATTCTTATCTATTCACTTCTATTCTCTATTTTTTATATCGCAATTATGCAAATTATAAAAAAATTAAGTACACACAGAAAACGCTAAGACTACTTTACACAATCTTATGCAGATTTTATGTATAAACAAAATGTAAAAATAAACAATACATCTTAGCAATACAGAAAAAAGCTTTCATATGTATAAGTTTTGATGAGTTAATACGGGAATCATAAATAATAGTGCATACTTTTTCATTAGCTGAGTACAAACATAAAGCAATAAAATTGCACTGATCCTGAGCATTTTTTCAGGGATTCAGTTCATTTATTTGAAATTCATTTATCAATATTTCACTATGGGTTAAATATGTCTTAGCAGTGCATATTATATCAGGCAATTTAACAGTATAATATCAGATGGTTTTATGCATATTCTATGCGTAATTATTCTAACTTCTCGCATAGAGTGATTGTACCGAAAAATGTGCATGAAATTTGCATAAGATCGTGTAAAGTGTTATATTAGTGTTTTTGTGTGTATGCGGCTCGAGAGCGCGTTAAAATATGGGTACAATAATACTCATATCGGATTATTCTAAAAATAATTAGCAATGAGAAAGCTAGACTCTGTGTCGATCTGCCTCGTGCCTTCATATTTCGATTATTTTATTTTATTTTCATCTCTGATATCCTCGACTTTCATAATTACCTCATCCCACGGAATATCCTCGCTCATTAAGAATCTAATTATCCTACGATTGGTTTTGATTTGTATAGTCTCAAGAGATTTGCTATGCGGTAATCTGCGTGTTTTCATATCTGGCGACTGGATTGAAGCAACGTAAAATAGTCCAGAAAGATCAAGAATCGCTCTCGAATTCTACGCGTATCTTGACACAGGAGACAGCAGCATCGCAATCTGATAATCATCGCTGACAACGATATGAAAATTTTATCATATATATATTTAAGTTCTCTATAACTATTTCATGTACTTCACTTGCCTCTCTGATGGCATTTAACATGAATGTGCAGAGCCACGTTGTCAAAAATTTTTTATTTCATTTGAAAAGCGCGAGATACATTTGTGCAGAATTTAATGCGTACATTATTGTTTGAAGGGACACGTCTCCAATGTAATAACCTAAGTAAATAATGCAAGCGGAAAAGATTCTAACACGAAGTTATTCATGGTTCTAAAGTATTGATAAAATTTATGTTGAAGTTCGCTCTGTGGAAATGATATTTTGAGATGTAATATCTGACAGAAGGGCGAGTGCCTATTAAATGATGAAACAATAATTTCACTTATAAATTATGTGCTCGACGATTCTGAGGCAGTCGTAGGCATCGGAGGCTACCGGTGAGTCTTCGCAGTATTATATGAAATCTATGATTGTGGATATATGTACATAATCATAAAAATCGTTGGATATGAAAAATCCTTTTGCAATAACTGGCATAATTATTGAAATTACTGTCAAATCTCCATAGGGCATTTGCATTATCTGTACAATATCAGCAGATAGATTTAGCGATAGATTACTGCAGTTGTAAATTAGATTATACGAAAATAATGGATTCTATTTCCGTGATACTTTATACATATGACAACAAAGTAAATCTTTAGAAATGTCGATAATTTATTAGTGTAAATATTTGTTGTTACTTATTATGTATTATCACAAAAAAAAATAAAACTGAAGTTTCTGCCAATCCGATGAGAGTAAATGATAATAGGTGTTGAATATATTTTGAAGTGTTGAATATAGTATTGAATATATTTTTTGCTATTGTTCTGCACCGATTCAATTTGTCCGTATTTCAGAGGTTCGAGTGAACGATGTGCAGTCTCTGTAAGCTTTCAGTGAGATTCAGAATGATTTGATCCCATGCGATATTTTTTTTTTTAATAAATAAAATCGGGCTATTTCTGCCCTGGTCTGGCTAATTGGCTCTATCTCACCCTATACATGCAGCTGTGGATCCTACACTGTACCGTATTCACTCTCCTATAAAACATAGGAGTGACATGGGAAACCACAGAAAAAACCATGTCAGTACAGGCGGTTGCACTATTAGCAGCCTGCCGCTCATCGGTGCCTGTCAAAAATTCGATTCAACGGAGAATCGAACTCACAACTTTCAGAACACTGGGCTCGCATTTAGCCACTGAGCTACGTCGGTTCCCATACGGGTGTTGTAACTATTTAGGGTCTGGAGATGTTGAGGTTTTGGAACCAAGCGGTGCAGCAGCCTTTATTGAGAACGAAAAACTGGCTCCAAACTAATCATCAATTTGTTGTCAACGATTGGGGTGTGTGCTAGTTGGTATCGGATTAAACTGTTCGAGCGGAGCACGACCATGGATCCACACAAAATGATCGTTGATGAAAATGCATTCGTGCACTACATATTTGATAATACAGACCATAATATGAAACATTTCACTGCCTCGGAGCAATGGCTCCATACACCCCCGCGGAGAACATTTCGTATCTTGGAGGTTCGAAGAAATTAAGGGCAATACCTAGTAAGGCAGTTGCAGCTGCACAAAAACACATTACGATCGTTCGTTATGAAGCTCCGAAACAAAGTGAAATGAAATCATATTCTATGACATCGAAGCTCTTAATATAGGAAAACCCGCTCTGATTCCGTGGAGTTACTCCACTTATTCTCGAGGAAAGCATCTCCGTACTGTTCATCATGGCGGGGATTTATGAAGGTGTTATCATCACAGAGTGATTTATTAATCAAATAATCGAGCATCGTTTGTCTAACCTTCATCAATTCTCCACCCTTAAAATCGACAACGCTTCATACAGCTGTAAATTATGCTCTTACTGAGGCCGCCAAACTTGATAAAAAGACCACTTTCATCACTTTGGATCAGCCTATTTACTGGAGAACAAGAGGAATAGTCACATCTCATGCTCATCCTTCTATAAAAAGGATCATCATTTTACTCGGCATTTTTCATCTGATTATGTCATACATGGAAGCTACTGGGCACACCATAGCTGGAAGTGGTCTTGATGATTCACGGTTTGTTATAAACAATGCTTACTGGGTACGCATTGTCTCGAGCTGTAAGAGCACATATCTTGACATTCACTGCGTTAGGAATGAAGATCTGCGCACGTATTGAGAACGAAGAGGCAAAGACAGATCAACAATTGAGTGCAGCTAATCTTAGGAAAAGATTATGCTTGAATTCTTCTCGGATTCGAAAAATCTGACCAGCGGAGATTGCAGTACTGAAATGATTAAGAAGTTGACAAAAGATTTTGAGATGGAATTATGGAAACTGGAAAAGAAGAATGGTAAGACGAGCAAACTGGATTCAGTACTTTAAATTGATTAAAGTCCTGTTACAACTGATCGAAACTGAGAGGCTCGGAAATTGGAAACTCTATCTGCAATCAGTGGCAAATTTTCTTCCACTATTTAATTCTAGTGGCCATCGTGCTTACGTCAAAAGTGCTCAAATATACCTTCAAGACGTGGCCGATTTGAAAAGCCATATGGACCCTGATGAGTGCACGTTGTTTACGAGGAAAGATATTTCACGATTCGTCGCACAGATAAGGCTTGGGCTAAAATATCCAGAGACATGGTCATCGAACAAACACTAAATAGATTCTTCGGAACCGATTTAAAAAACGTGTTATGTGTTACGTAGTATGTGCTTTAAATCGAGTAACACCAAATGTAGTCAACCGATATCTACTTGCCATGTCAGCAGCATTCAGTATTATGGAAGGATTAGAAGATTATTGTGGGGTGAGAACATTCAACAGCGAGCAACATGTGGAATTTGAGAGCAGTAGAATATCAAGAGATGATGCAAACATTGAAAGACTGTTATACTGGCTGAATTCTCACCATCCATTTTATAACCGAACCTCATTAGTGTCACTGTCTGCGGGAGTTATTGGAGGTGATTTCATTAACTGTCATAACGCAGTTGAAAAGGGCTTGCAATCCATGAAGAAAATGGTAAAGAACGGCAGCTCCTATTTTTCAATCATTCGAAGTGAAAAATCTCAATTCAGCGACATAATCGATGCATCTGGGTAGACCAGATCGAGGGATTAAGCTCGATACCTATCTGCTTTTCCAGAAAATTTCTATTCTGTTCAGTGGGACCGCTACCTTAACTCAGCAAGCGTTGAAATACGAACTCTCTCCAGTTTCATTAAATCTATTTGATGAGGAAGGCTGGATGAGACGGACTAACAAGTCTGATCTTTATACGGTTTTCAACGCAGCTATATATGAGTCAGCGTTGTTCAACAACTTAAAATTCGTGGTGGATGGCGGTTGGCTTCTGCGGCAAATTAATTGGCGCCATGGTAAAACTTTTCTCTAAATCTTTAACATGTACCGCAAGTATATTATCCAGTATATCGGGTCTGATTCTACTATCGTTTTTAATGAGTATACAAATGACATCGTCGCAGTCAAGTCGTATGAAAGACTTTGACGAAAGGAGGTTCGTCGCTGCTGATATCGGTATCTGTGAGGACATGTCGATAACTGTTACCCAAGTGTTCTTCGCAAATATCATCAACAAATTCAAATTTGTCCAACTTTTTTCGGCATACTTGAAATAGTACCATCTCTTACCGAAATTGGCGTATGAAAATGCTGACAGCTCAATTGTTCATACAGCAATTACTATGAGAGGTCGTCATCTAATCGATTGTTATCCAGTGATGGTGAGAAATGATGTTGACCTTTTTGTGTTATTTATTGGTCTTATCCAATGTAACATGAATTTGTATTTCCATACAATTACATCAACTGGCAAAAAGAAGAAGCTGTATGACATTCGCGACAACAGATGCTTGAAATCTTTTATTCTATTCGCCCATGCATTTGTTGGTTGCGATACAACAAGTGCACTTTTTAACAAGGGCATGCAAAAAATCATCTCCTTATTGCAACATTCGGAAAACTTCGTGAGGCAACATCGCTCTCCTATATCCCTTCTATATCCCATATTATGAAGCACCTTTACACTTCTGATGAAGAACAAAATCTGTCCATAAATAAACTTCGATACAAAATCTTCGTCTCGTCAGTAGCCACTGCAAAGAAGGATATATTGCCTTCTTTACTGCCAATAAAAGCTGCTCTGATGGAACACATTAAAGAGTCTATCTCAAACTTCAGCAATGGATGTGTAATAAGTTGATTCCGCTGGTCTGGGGGTGGGAATGATTAGGAAAGGGCATCATGATATTGACACCCACGGAAACAACACTCCCTGCTGCGCCAGCTGAAATTTTAATGAAGGTACATTCACTAAAACTCTTTTTACAAGAGAACCTACTTCAAATTTTTAGGTCGATCCAACTCTTGATAAATTGACGCATGAACGTATCACACTCTTTACATTCACCTCAACGAACAGACTTTCTCGTACATATATCATTATTGGTCTCTCGAGGTTAAATTTTTAATCATTTTTGTCTAGGTATCTGGTACTTGTGCAATTACAAAGTGTGCAAATAGATGCACATGCGAAAAAGCGAGAATTCCCTGCATTTCCCTTTGCAAAATTGCACTGATGATGACAACCGCTCTAATCAATCACCGGGAGTCCGGAACGAAGAAGGGATTGATTCCGAGAGCGAAAGTGAAGGAGAAGAAGAAGACGATGGACCAGATAAACATAGGAGGGATCAAGATGAGCTTCAGGAAGGATCTACTGATGAGAATTGCTAATTTCAGCTAGGTTTTGATTATTTAAAAAAATATATATATATATATATTTAAAATCTGACAGAACTGACGAAATTTCATTTTTTTTTGTAATTAAAGATAATTTTTCCAATCGTAGGCATTTCAGAATATTTGATATTGAGCAATTATATATTACCTATGGTTGGCTGAAAGAATTGTCTAAATTGTTGCCATTGTATAAATAATTAAATCAATAATAATAATTGATTCACCTAATCGAATTGTAACAGATTATAATCTTTTTGCATTCCTAATTATCGATAATAAAGTGGAATTTTTCCATAACAGAAATAGAAAAGGACGATTTCAATTAATAAACTGAAACAACTTAATCGTCCATCTATTTCATAATTGGACTTATTTATTCATCAAAAACTATTTTAATTTTCGCTTTAATTGAAATTCAATGATATTTTGAAAATGGTTACAGCAAATGTATTCGTGCGAATTTCAATAATCATCGAATAAATGATAATTAATGATTAATTATAGATGAATTAAGATTCACTTATAATTATTTAGCATTTATTATTCGTCCTTGCTTGAGAGACAAAGCACCTGGCGAAAAGACATTTATAAAATCGCGATTATCTCGCTTCCTATGGGTCCTACAGCGAAAATAAGGTCATATTCGTTTATATCACGGCGAGACGCATCGATTCCACGTATTGAAAATTCGATTTGAGCGAATTTTTTTTCGATTTAGAAAAACTCGATTTTCTCGCTTCCTATGGGTCGTAGCGCAAAAATACGGCCAGATTCGTGAGTGGCGCGGCGAGACGCATCGATTTCACTTAACGTGAAGTCGATTTGAGCGATTTTTTTTTCGATTTAGAAAAACTCGATTTTCTCGCTTCCTATGGGTCGTAGCGCAAAAATACGGCTAGATTCGTTTATATCTCGTCGAGACGCACCGATTCCATGTATTGAAAATTCGGTTTGTGCGAATTTTTTTTCGATCTAGAAAAACTCGATTTTCTCGCTTCCTATGCGTCCTAGCGCAAAAATACGGCCAGATTCGTTTATATCTCGTCGAGACGCATCGATTCCATGTATCGAAAATTCGATTTGAGCGAATTTTTTTTCGATTTAGAAAAACTCGATTTTCTCTCTTCCTATGGGTCCTAGCGCGAAAATAAGGGTATTTTCGTCCATATCACCGCGAAACGCGTCGATCCAACATATAAAGAAGGGTATAGGCGCAGTTTTTTTTCAATTTATAAAAATGCGATTATCTCGTTTCCTATGCGTCGGAGTGCGAAAATAAAACCCCCCAATTTTTTGCTAGCATTCATCCCATTGTCATCCCTTCATTTCGTTCCTAACCATGCCCACAAACACCATGCTTATACACATACCCCTTTCTCAATTCCAGCTTCATCCTTACACCCACCCTCTACCTTCACGCATCTGCCCAACCCCTAATTTAGCCATTCACCCTCCCAATCCTATTTATTCGTATCCCCCCATTGGGATATTACTCGCCCAAAAGTGCCCCTCCTTCATACGCTCCTGATCACTTCTGCCGTGAAACTCATTTTCGTCTCTCCGAGATTGAGAAGGCCACACTATCGCCATCTGTCTAAACTTCGTTTCCCTAAAATTGAGAGCTGATCGCTTCGTATTCGCGAACCTAAATTCCGGGCGTTCAGTGCATCGAATCTTTCCGGGAAAAATCGCGAAAAATGTAATAATTGTGTCCACGGGCCGGTAATTGCGTGTCGCGAGTGAGAAGTGGATGTATAAATTGTGGGGAGTGTTTTTATTCCGCAGTGATTGAGCCGCCATATTTTTCCCCAAACGATCATTGGAAAATTCATCTTGGTGAAATCTAGGGGGTCTCTTTGAACGTAATTTACACGTTCGTTCCTCAATTTCCCACCCCTGAGACCTAATTACCGGCCCGGCAAAAATAATTATCTGTCGATTGACCGTACCATTATATTTTTTGAGGGCCTACAGGGGCTGGCATTTAGTTACCCGTAAAACGCGTTTTTTTCTAGGGAATTCCCTAGGGACATGTCGGTCAAAAATCCCTCCACCCGGGCCTTAACTGTAAGTTCAAGATCGTAACCACAGAGGATGGTCGAATTTGGAAACACCGGTTTCGGTTCTGTGGATTGATTTGCCATTCTAGAAATAATTTCATGTTCATCGGTTTTCACAATCCCCGGCACTTGGATACGAGTGGATATGAGTTGTATCGTTCTTTTGGCGGGCATTAATATCCATTTTGGCGGTTGAGTAAAACCAAGGAGAATTCATCGAATAATATCTGAGGCTGAAATTTATTACTAAACTGGAGACATGGGTGACAAAGATGGTGGTGAGTTTGATGATATTATTTGATGGATTTTGTGGAGGCTTAATGGCAATGAATAAACGTGCTATTGGTAGACTCAGAGGTATACCTGTGAACAATATCATTTTAACGGTCGGCAAATATTTCTGCAGGATATCTATCATTCCATCGTTTTTCCTTTGCACTTGACTCCAATTATTAAATACTCGAAATTAATTATCGGGATAACTTAATTGGAATCACAATGGATGAAAGCGATTAGGCGATGCGGATATGTTTGGTCTTCATATACCCCATTATTTCTTAATCATAAAATTAAATCATTAATAACCTCACAGCAAAATTGTCAGTTTAATAAAATTCCCAGAAATAAAACGACCAAAGAAAATCAGATTTCAATTTTATGTATAAAAAATCAGGGAAATTAGATCATTGAATAGGATAACTTAGATAAACATTGGATTTTTGTTTTGAAGAGTCATTTTGGAAGATGGAAACAAGGAACTTGCAAAAAACCTTATTATGTGCCAAAAAAGATGTTTCAACACTTTTCTTTTAATCTTAGTTTATTGATATCTTTATACAGAAATTTTCCATTTCTTATTATTAAATGAGTATTATTTTGGAATTTAGAGAGTGGTCTTAATTGAAAATAGTCTATTTTAATCCGTCCCGCCCTTTGTTAATTAAATTTTTATTTTCTTCTCGATGAAGACCCGAATGTACTATCTATTGAACGTAATCCTAGATTTGAATTGATTCTTGCTAGTCTAAAATATACAAAGACCTCGGATTAAATTTGTCTTGCTGAAACCACTCGACTGGCTATAAAAAAATGATTAAAAAACGAGGAAATATTGTTGGAGGAGAGTAAATCACGATATTGATTTGAAAGGATCTGCCGAGTTTACAGAAGAATAATTAAAACAGCCAGCTTATCAGCCACCATGTCCTATGTAAAAGGTAGAGGAAAAGAATACATTTGACAGTTAATAACAATATAGATTCGAAATGGAATGTCAAATGTTATCGGTGGTAAACTACATATTTTTCATTATATATTATATATTTCCTTGTAAAATTAGTAATTGCTATCCTTTGGAAACAATATCCCTATTTATCCCCCTTCAACGTTTTTTCCTCTTGATTATTTTTTTTATAACTATTGGAGGGATATTGACAGAACAAATTTACTCCCATGTTTTTATATAATATAATATAATAATAACTTTATTTTTCTTTGGTGTTACAGTACATATGTTTTTCACCTTCTCCGCTTGCTCCATTCTTAATTTATGTTTTGATAAATCTATTAGCTTATTGATTAGGATTTTATATATTTTCGGCTAAAAAGATTCAAGCCAAGCTAAAAATCTCGTTCTATAAATCGTTCATGCCGGTCTCTATACTTTTTGGGTCGAGTAAACTTGGACTGGATCCATTCTATGCTGGACGAACAAAAGGAATATTTTTTATATAATTTTAGAAAACTAAAATTGTACTTTAATAGTTGTCAAGATAGCCATTGTTCCATTTCACCACGGAAGGTTTGGAAGCATTAATAAGCCTTCTGTTTTCAAAAACAAAATATTAAATGCAAGATCTAGATTATTTATGCTAGATTGTGCCTTATGTGAATAAGTCAAGAATATTTACATTTCTGGCTCCTTTACCCAACTGTTTATACCATTATTATTGGTAACGATTGGTAATATCGAACGCCAGATAAAGGTAAAAAGATTATTCAAGTCAATTCAAGTAACTTTGAAAGAGAAAAGATTTTATCAACTTTGTTACTTCTTATTTTTCTTCGCAACATATCCATTATTGGGAGATTTTTGAATATTCGGTTAGTTTCTTACTGTTTTCTTACTGGGAAAAACTTTTAATTATCAATCCAGCGGCTGAATTCTTCAGTTTTACCTCTTTATCAAATATCCCTGAGTAACAACGATTGCCACTGTAGAAAATTAGTTTTTTTTCTCAAGTTTGTAATAAAAAGCTTTTTAGATCTTTACAAATCAAAATGACGTACTGACAATTTTCAAGAAACCGGGAGGTAAAATCTGGGAGAACGAGATTTCAAACTTTTAACTCCATGAATTATTTACCTTTGTTAACATGTATTTTTCATGCTGAAAAAGTTACGCTTTGAAATTGTTAAGCAAAAAATATATAAAAATAGGCATTGGCTTATAAAGCTATTTCGAATATTTATAGTTTTTTCGTAGGTGCTCTCCCACTAATTGAATTATGGTAACATATAGAAAAAAGGAAACTATTCTGCGTTATTAACTATCCCTGAACCATTCTCATTTTTTTTTGTTTCAATCAAGACTTAAAAAAAACTTGTTACTCTCTGTACCGAATACAAGAATGGTATTTGTCCGTCATTGACATTTGATAATTTCACCTAGAAATGAAGCGAAATGGAAGCAAGAAGAAATCATATTCTTAGAAAGTGTATATTCGAGTTCCATAGTTCAGTTTCTAAAAAGTTTATTAACATGAAATCAAAATTTGATTAATTACTAAAGCTCAAGTTTGGTGCGAAATCTCAACACCGCTTGTGGAGTAATTACTCAGATATTATGAAGAACATATTTATCAATATCTCAAGAACTGTGGGACTCATTAAATTCCGATGATTTTTTTTTCCAAATCAGTTAGAACATGCCCATACTCATTCATATAGAGTTGTTTGGGCATATTTGCGATTGTACATTTTAGTTTGCTTATAAATTTCTTGTACATATAATAACTTGAGGAACCATTAGAAGAGGACTATGACATAAGGTTTTTCATGGAAATTGTAAAAGAAATTTGTTATGAATTAATGAAAATTAGAGACGCTTTGCATAGCAGACGAGGTGTCAAATGTTTATTCCTGTCAGTGTAACATGGCCTATTAAGGATGTTTTGCTGGTATTTTGTTATTTTTCCTGTTTTTCTGAGATTTATTGAAAACTATCGATCGGATTGGGATATGAAAATATAGCGCTTGTCCGTTCCATCATGATGGATCCTTTCATAAAGTTCCATCCCGATACACTAATTGTAACTTTTCACTAGAATTTAATAAAAAATCAATAAATTTTAGTGAAAAGTTATAAAAATTGGTGTATCGGGATGAAACTTTGTGAAAGGATAAATCATGATGTAACGGACAAACGCTACATTTTTATATCTCAATCCGATCGATAGATTTCAATAAATCTCAGAAAAATAGGAAAAATAATAAAATACCGGCAGAACCTCCTTAACGTAACCTATCAATTGAAAGCCGGAAAATCGGTGTTTCGAACTTGTCAATTAATTAAAATGTTCATTTAAAGCGGAAACTTTCGACGACGCTGTTGAAGAGCGTGTGATAAACGAAGAATACAAAATATGGAAGAAAAATACTCCTTTTTTGTACGATCTCGTGATGACCCATGCTCTGGAATGGCCATCGCTAACAGCTCAATGGTTGCCAGACGTAACTAGGCCGGAGGGCAAAGACTACTCAGTCCATCGTCTCATTCTGGGTACACATACCTCTGATGAGCAGAATCATCTCTTGATTGCGAGTGTTCAACTGCCAAATGAGGACGCCCAGTTTGATGCCTCTCACTATGATAACGAGAAGGGAGAGTTTGGAGGGTTTGGATCGGTCAGTGGAAAAATTGAAATCGAGATAAAAATTAATCATGAAGGAGAGGTGAACAGGGCTCGATACATGCCCCAGAATCCTTGTGTCATTGCTACTAAGACACCATCAAGCGATGTCCTCGTTTTTGATTATACCAAACATCCTAGCAAGCCTGATCCTAATGGAGAGTGTCATCCTGATCTTAGGTAATTCTGCACGAAACATTATTATGAAGCTATCAAGACAATAAAGCAGCCTAAGGGCCGGATGGAGTATTTTGGAAAGATAATTTACTCCAAAATTGGAATTCCTAATTACTCCGCCAATTAATTGTTTTTTCCGATAATTGTCAGCTAGCGCTCTAGTCGTTGACAACCGCTAGAACGATAGCTAACAATTATTGAAAAAAAAACGATTAATTGCCAGAGTAATTAGGAATCCCAATTTTGGAATAAATTATCTTTTCCAGATAATTCAACCGGTCCTTAACGTTAAATATTTAAATAGGTCTTCGTTTTTAATCTAGAGAACTATGCCATATCGTAAAGCTATGTAAAAACTATTTTTATCTGTTCTCTACGTAATTTATACTATGTTTTCTAATATTCTATTTCGATTATTGATAAATAGATTACGCGGCCATCAAAAAGAAGGTTATGGTCTCTCCTGGAACCCCAATCTAAACGGATATCTTCTGAGTGCTTCCGACGATCACACTATTTGTTTGTGGGATATAAATGCAACTCCGAAGGAAAATCGTGTCATTGATGCTAAAACCATTTTCACTGGACATACTGCTGTCGTTGAAGATGTTGCCTGGCATTTGCTTCATGAATCACTATTTGGCTCTGTTGCTGATGATCAGAAGCTCATGATATGGGATACTCGGTAAACTATTGAAATCATAATTATATGTAGTTCATTTCATTTTTCACTTACCATTGGTAATTGTGTGGCAGTAACTGTTGCAGTCATTACACAAATTATTTTAAAAAAAAAACAAAATTTCCGATTGTTAGCGAATGGGTCTCTCTAATTTATGGGGCCTTTAAACAAAAAATTGGAAGTAGTAGTTGCAGAAAAATGAATAACAACGCACAATTGAGCTTCGGTAAAAATTCAGAAGCCGTCGGAAACAGAACTTAAAACATAAATTCTTAAAAACTCGATTCATGCGTTTTCGAATCTTTGCAAACAATTGACCTATCGTAAATTATATGTTGTTAATTAGTTATCAGTAAACTCAAGAGAGCCAGTACACTCAAAACTCTTTTATCATATTCATTAATGTTCATTGGAATGGTTTGCACAACCCCAAACCCATTACAAATTTTGCAATATTTAACACTCATCTGATAGATATTTAATCAACTGAATTATATATCTATACAACTTCCAGTTGAAGTTCAAAATAAAAAAAAACTGATACAAATCATTTTTTATATCATTCTGTATTATTCGTAGAATTAAAGAGAAAACTACATTTTTTTCGGAAATTACAAATAAAATGTATGATTAATTATGGTGAATATGCGCTACCAGAAAAGACGGGAAGGCGATAAAAGTAAATCTTTTGTCTTATTGCACGTAGACGACTATTTAAAAAAAATTATATTATTCGACCTTTCCATTTTTTTAAACAATATTATCCATAAATGAAGGGCACTCATTATAGTCTGAGTTAAGGATTAATAATTACTCGCGTGTAAAATTTGCTTCGAAATGTAAACGTGGTAATTAGTTTTTACGTTATGGGCAAGTGACAGATTTTAACTACCCACTTTTGCGGTACAATTATGTGCTTATTATAAAGTTCTTATTCTGCCGGGTGGAAGTGAACTAAAAATATTGTGAAAAATATTTTTAAATCTAGAGAGTGCGAAATAATGTAAACTTTTCACAATTTTTGAAGGGATTTATGCTCATACTCCTTCCTAGTTCATGATCCTGAACATTTGTTGCTGTAAATCATGCATTTTTAATTTCCTCTCTATTTGAAGGACTTCTCCATAATATAATAGTACATAATCATTTTCATATTGTCTGATTTTACCCCTGCATTTCTTTTGGCTAACGCCCCGTTAGTAGTACAGGATAAATTTTTCATTAATTGAAATTGTATGATTTTTTTTCACGTTAGATGCAACAATACAAGCAAGCCCAGCCACACGGTGGATGCCCATACAGCTGAAGTTAACTGCCTGAGCTTCAATCCTTACTCCGAATTTATTCTTGCAACTGGAAGCGCTGACAAGACTGTCGCTCTTTGGGACTTGCGAAATTTGAAGCTGAAACTTCACTCGTTTGAATCACACAAGGATGAAATCTTCCAGGTTCAATGGTCACCGCATAACGAGACAATACTCGCCAGTAGTGGCACTGATCGTCGTCTTCATGTCTGGGATCTCAGTAAGATTGGTGAGGAGCAGTCTAGCGAGGATGCTGAAGACGGCCCACCTGAACTTTTGGTAACATTTTTTTTTCTCCTTACTTCTAATTTTAAAAGTTGCAGAATACAATTCCTTTACACATTTACTCGTCAATTTCTCACTGGAATAAACGACAAGTGAACTTTAGGAGATGTTTTCTTAAAGAATGATATATTCAAAAATTATAATTATTTTTTCGTTTGAAATCTACGAAAAATTTCTTATGAAATTATGTCTTGAAAATATTAGAGAAATTCGTTTTAAAGCCTCAAACAATTATTCAATAATTAATATTGTTATTAACGATTCCATTCAACTCATCAATGTTGAATTCCTCATATATATATATATATATATTTGTATGTATATATGAGGATATATATTTATATTGACATTTATTTTTATATCGGTTCATTCTGCACAGTTCAACACATTGTTTTGATTTCGGCTTGGCAACGGAATTCTATGCCGATGACGTATATCACGTTGTCCTTGTCGCAGGACATCTTCGATAATTCGCGACAATTCAGACACCCTCGAATATTATTGCCCTTGTCGCGGGAGACACTTACGTTACAGCTCTCATGTATAAATCCCTCTCTTTTCCATACGTTTAATCGAGCGTTCTAATTATTAATTCCTCCCAGCGTACATCGACTGCCACATTTTTTTCTTCTAGAATTTAAATTTTTAATTGTATGCTTATACAAAAAATACTGCAAAAATATTGATCATTTCTAAAGTGATGATTTTGAATTGTCAAGAGAAAATTACACGATTTCGATTTTTTCACAACTACCTAACGTTTCCCTGTTAAAACCTTTAAGACCTCTAGGTATTCTCGTTTAATTACTTGGTTTGTTCTTTAACAGTTCATCCATGGTGGACATACAGCTAAGATTAGCGACTTCTCTTGGAATCCCAATGAACCTTGGGTCATTTGTTCAGTCTCTGAAGACAACATAATGCAGGTGTGGCAGATGGCTGAGAATATCTACAACGATGAGGAACCCGATACACCAGCCAGTGAACTCGAGGCCGGTGCTTCATAGATGAATGAAAGGAATTCCTCTTGCTGTTATTACCTTGTGTGACGTCTCAGCAAACTATTGGTGAAAACGTAAATCAAATTCGTACTAACGAAACGAAGCAAAATTTTTTTACATGTCTCATTCAATTATTGAAAAATTGCCGAAGTAACTTTCAACATTGATGCATTTTTTAACTTTAGAAGGAACAACCGTCTACAAATTTTTGACAGTCATATGTGGTAAAATTTAAACATAAGCTCGGTTTAATTACTACTAATTGAAATGATTGAAAATCCCACAATGATTTTTCTGTTCTTCAATCTCACTTCCGTTTCATTTTTCTTGTTTCAAGAAGAGAAATTAAGATGATCGGAATATTTTTTCTACTTAGTAAATAAGTTTTTCTGTAGTAAGATATGTAATGAACAGAATGGGATGTTCCAATTAAGGCCCGCATGGACTATCCATTGAACATAATCTTTTGCTAAAATGTGATCTTGTTAGCCTATAATCCATAAAAATTTGGGATCAAATTTGTGTTGCGCGAATCACTCCAATGGTTGTAAAAAAAAAGTAATAAAGGAGGAAAAATTATTGAAGAGCGCTAACCCGCGATATTGATTGAAAGGGATCTATCAAGTTTACAAAAAAAATATAAACCATTCCCAGCTTACCCTTACGTCTAGTTATCACTCAATCCGGCGAGGAGCAATCATAAGGTGTCTATTTTTTATCATTCTTTTGTAAATTCGATAGATCCCTTTCAATCAGTATCGCAATTTAGTGCCCTTCAATAATTTTTCCTCTTTTCCCATTATCTTTCGATTAGCTGCCGAGTAATTCCCGCAACATAAATTCAATCCGAAATTTTAATATATTTTAGGCTAACTAAATAACATTTAAGGCCCGGATGGACTGTCTGGAAAAGATAATTTACTCCTAAATTGGGACTTCTAATTACTCCGTCAATTAATCGTTTTTTCCGATAATTGTTAGCTAGCGGCCTAGTTGTTGACAACCGCTAGAACGCTAGCTAACAATTATTGAAAAAAACGATTAATTGCCAAAGTAATTAGGAATGCGAATTTCGGAGTAAATTATCTTTTCTAGATAATCCACCCGAGCTTTAAACAAAAGATCACGTTCGATAGATAGCCCATGTGGCGTTTACGTTAATTTTCACCTTCCATGCATTGCAATTATTAAATTAAAAAAAATTTAAAAATCTTGAAGAATCACATTTCTGTCTTAATTATGGGGCGAAAAAATATAGGCGGACGATATTTGAGGCGCTATCAGAATATGTCAAGAGAATTTCATAAAAAGTTCAATTGTATGGAAACTCCATGAGGTCCAGAAAATGAGATGGAAGACAAACAGGAAAATATGGTGAATATCTTACTATTTTGAAAACAATTTTTCTGAATTTATCAACGTTAGAAAAAAAGATGTAAGAGCTATTTTAGTTCACACACTTGCCTGCAGAAAACATTCTTTCGTGAATTTCTACAATTGATTTTTTTTTATAAGTTTACCTTCCATCGGAATTTTGGCACAATACTTTAAAAGGGTTTAGTAAAAATATATTCACAGCAAGATTGAAATTTTATTCGGATACATGTCTCTCTTTTCATCGGACTAGCCAATAAAGAAGAAAATGTTGAGATTTTTTTATGATTTTCACAAGCCTTGCACTAATTTATTTATCACTCAACAATCTCCAGCTCCTTTCATCGTTTTGCAGTATCCTCAATTTACACGTATTAAATTTATTCAAGAGCGACCATATTAATACCAGTATAAATAAATTATTAATTTATGTCGTATGGTATGGATAAATAATTAACTAATTTAGTTATCAATTCGACAGAAGGATCATAAAATATAACAAATAGAATTTTTATTTGAATTTTTATTCATTCAAATAATCCCTTTGAAAATGCATGGCGCGGGAAAAATATTCTATGAAACCTTTTTTATAATGAAAATATTCTCCAAAAATAATTTCAACAGTTAGAATGGGTAGTGGTCGAGAGTCTGACATTTGGTGAAAATAAAAAAATTCGCTCATTGAGTTTCATCACTTCACTGATTAATTGATTAATTATAGTGTTGTACTCGTTATTTCATTATACATCTTGGTGATGAATCGCTCGTTGCTGGTTGGCTGGACTTGTGGACTCTGCAGTGATATTATTTCTTCGGGAATCATACTGGGAATTCTGGAAAACGTCTTAAATTAGTGGAACCATTACACAATTTACAATTACACAATGGTGTAACGAGTACTTGAATGTGTCGTAATAATGTCACAGAAACACATATATATTTTCGAAGGGTATTTGGAAATCATTTCTCCGATCGTAATTTCGATTAACGAATTAAAATGTGAATTATAGTACACAGAGAGAAATATTCAATAAAAATTACGTGTATTTTCTGTAATTCTGGAGCGAAATGTGGTTGTTGGAAATTTTATGGAACTGTCACGTAATTTTTATCTAAAGTCATGAAATTTTTCTGAGGTGTTCCGTAAATTTTATATGAATTATCGGTGAAAAATTACGATACCGTCACTTAAATCTTTCGAATCGACTCCGTAATCGGTAAGTGAACTAAAAGTTCCGTAATTTTGACTAAATATTTCTTTCCGTGTAAAGACATCGAATAGGATATCTCAGAGATGATAGGGCAGTGCAATTCCCAGTAAAAACGAATATGTGGTTGTGAGAGCTCAGGTGAAGAGGAGACCCGACAGCCCCCCCCCCCTGCCTAGGTCGGGTGTGCACCAGAGGGACCGTAGGGGGAGGCCAGCCCTAATCAGGGGGAGTCCTACTTCGCCCCAGGTAACCACCTCTGGTCAGGGCCAGGTCTTTAAAGCAGAGAGATCTCTGCCCTCGGAGCTACTCCAGCTCGCAACCTCCATTAGAATAAATTTCTTCAAGCCATGAGGTTTATCACTGCACCACCCTCGGGAGATGCCCTGTGCGTAGGCAAGAGTAGCCAGGGAATATTCAACAGAAGCTTGGTGGTGGGAAAAGTAAAATAGGCAAATTTTCAATTGCTCGAATGGAGACTTTTTTTTAATTACAACATTTTTGGTCGTTACTTTTACTTCCAAATGGAAGCTTTGTATTCAGCCATATTCAAGTTCCCGATTTTTTGTATTAGGGTAACTAAATGTAGCCTAAAAAGTCCGAATCTGCGGTTCTTAGATGGTATCGGTATGGGTGCGTGTGTATGCGTGTTTTAAAAATTGCTTTTCTCTTTTTTTTCGCCATGGATTGATGGAATACCATGATTTTTTCAATTGAATATATACTTTTAAAAGCTTCATCTCTTGACACTGATTAGTTCTGAAATTTCCATGATGATTTTAAAAAATCCAAAATTTTCCACTGAATAGTTTTTTTTCGTTTTCTTAAATTTCTTCACGAAGGATCCATAGAATCTCACGAATTTTCCTGTAAATATCGATTTCCATGCGGTGTAGGTCGGTGTAGTGATGGAAGTCAGTATGGGAGAATCGGTGGAGGAAAAGACATGCCCTGAGGCAGTTCCTCTCAAATTTTCTTATGCACTCCACCTGATACGCCCCCATGTTCTAAAATATCTCTGAACTGTACGGTAATAAGGGTCTAATCAGCAGAAAATAGCAGATGATTCTTCGGGCATAAGCAAATCTGATGGAGTCGAATGAAACTGCTAAAGGTTTATTAAAACCTCTGATAGATTTCCTCCAATAATGGACGGGAAGGGTTCAGTAACAACTACACCTACCACAAATTGAAATATTCTCAGCAGAAATTCATGGTAATGTATCTCAATAGTGATAAAGCCGCAATATGGAATTATTCGGGAATTTACTGATAATGAATTCTATCTACCCTACGGGTCTAATTTGGATTGGAAATTTTACCGTTTAGGCGGAACTCAATAAATCGCCTGTATCACGCGAGACGGTCTGTTGCATGCAAAAAAAATAATAGTGGAGTAATAGATAAGAAACTGCAAATAGTTGCCAGCGAGAGTTCTTTAAGGACCGGTTGGATTATCTAGAAAAGATAATTTACTCCAAAATTGGGATTCCTAATTACTCTGGCGATTAATCGTTTTTTTTTTTAATAATTGTTAGCTAGCGTTCTAGCGGGTGTCAACGACTAGAGCGCTAGATAACAATTATCGGAAAAAACAATTAATTGGCGGAGTAATTAGGAATCCCAATTTTGGAGTAAATTATCTTTTCCAGACAGTCCGTCCGGGCCTTAAGGAAAGATAACATACCTTCGACTGCTATTGTGACGTTTTACAGCTTCGAGGAGTGCCGAAATCGATGGTGAGAGTATCGGATGAAGCATCTGGAATAATTAAATGCCCTTCTATTAGTGAATAAATAGAGGTAATTAAGGACATAAGATTTGTATAACTTTGACATACTTGTTTAGTCATTTAATATACACTCCATTATGATAAAAAAATGAATGTAAATATCTACATGCATAGAATTGCATGGATTCGGATGGATATTATTCTTTAATAATTTTATAAACTTTTTGGGATTGCAAATAACTTATAAAAATTGACGCACGTTTACCGGTGCATTTCGCATTTCGCGCAGATCGATGTTACGGAATAGGTCGTGCACCAGCAACTCCTCGACGCTGGGATAATGACCTCCTGATTGATTGAATATGAGGTCCATCAAATCAGCAACCTACGGATTTATTTTAGTCCATGAGTATTGGAAATCGAATAGTGAAATTAATTAAAACATAGTTAATAAACATCAATTACTTTCACTTTATTAAGAACGCACGAGGGAGAATAACGTCTGAAATCTATCAATATCTCCAAGAGACTAAAGACTGGCCACAAAGACCATGAGAACATTCGTCACCGAAGAAAGAACCCTCCAATGATTTCTTGTGAAACCATTCTTGTAATTATTATAGATCAGTTCAATATATTTCTATGAATTTTAAATTGATATAAGAATGAGTATAATTATTGAAAAGAATAAAGTTTACAATGATGTACCAAAAAGGAAGATTAGGAGATAAGATTGAGAATTCAATACGACCTATTTTGATAATGTCTAGGGAAGTACTGCATTCGGAGAGAAATATCAGCGAAAGTTCTTGTAGGTAAATAAATTTAAGGAAGGTATATTCTTTATTAACTTTGAAATCTGCGGAGTTTTTAATGGATATCGTAGTGCTTCGAACGACGGATCTTACAGGGAGAGAAAAGTCCAATAAAAATTAGCTAAAAAACACGTAAAATTTACGAATCCATTCTTTTGGTGAGAGATCCGAAGATGTACTGGACGTTTTAGATTTTTTTCTTATATTTCTATAGAAATTCACCTAGAATCATTTTCGCTTGAGAATTACATGAAGTACTTCGTAATTGTTCGTAGATATTTCTCTACGTGTAAGAAATTCATTCGAGGTCGTTTCTCTGATTCATCACAACTGTTTTTGTGTATTCTTCTTGATTTATAATTTTATAAATCTTTTGATAATGTAAAGTACTTTATGTCATTGCGGCCGGTAAAACGCGTTTCTCACCTCGCTTCGCTCGGATAAAAACGCATTTTCGGCCACAATAACATAAAATAGCATCATAGCTACGGCGAAAAAAGTGATTCTGACTCATGCGCGTTATAATCCTCGTCTCCGACTCGGACTATAAAATCGCATTCGTCAGATTCCCTTTTTCCGTCCTAGGCGTGAAAAATACTATTCTGAAATGAGAGGTTTTCTTTTTCTATTTCGTTATTTGAGTAAATCTTTTTCCGTCCAGTAGACTAACAAGTGAATATCAAATTTTTTAATTAGTCTACTGGGAAATACTGTTTTAGTATCATCATAACAAAAAAATAAATCAACAATCTGCAGTCAATCCTTTCTGTTTATTACATGTCCAGATTGCATGCAAACGTTGAAAAACCATAGGAACGTTTGTCGCAAAACATTCAATTATCTATAAAAGAAAAGTCTTCGTATAAATTTCGGTGGATATTAAAGGGTACACCTTCGACTAATTATTTTATCAAATCTGCAGGTCAGTGCAGATCGATATATACTCTGAAGGATTTTCATATTGATTTTCTCGCTAGACTTTTTAAATTGTACCTTTGGGTATTTTTCAAGATCTGCCATCTGAACTGGAGACGGTTTGAAGGCACACAGCTCGTAACCCGTGCACATTTCGAAAAGCATATGACCTAAAAAAAAATATATTTATTCAATACAGAAAAAGTCCATTTTCTATAAAGAAATGAAAATTTTATATAGCCTGTTTATTCAAAGATAAAAATAAGAAAGTCAAAGACTGAAGAAAACTGGAAAATAACTCAATTGGGATTAATAAAACGTACGCCTAATCTTACTCTCTCCAAGCTAGCATTCAATTTATTTTTGAGCTTTAAGTTTCGGATAGATTATTTCAGTAAAAACTGATAAGTAATCTTCATCTCGACTGGGAAATAACATCGCCATGTTGAAGAAATAAAGACGCTTGTGACCGCGTGCCGAATTATCAATAATTAGTAAGGACTTGTGCGATCTCCATATCAATTATAGATTATTAATACGTTATTTGTGGCAAAAGTATAAATTAACGTCCTCATCTATTTTCCATCGCTACGAAAATAAAAATCGACCTTCACAAATTTGTACGTAAATTTTTATTTTTTTATAGAATTTATTATACTGGGTGAGTTTTCCTAAAAAACAGCACCGCAAGAAATATCAAAAAGATATATACTCCCTTCAAACATCGACACCAATTGGAATTGAAATCGGCAGAAAGATTCGGAAATATTTGTGTTTTCTCGAAAATATTTTTTCAACAATAACTCTAGTAATTATTATAAGAGAGGAATCAATGATCGCTTAAAAAAATGATATTGATAGCCTCTTAATCGTCTCAGAATATGGAGAGAATCGCATAAGTTATATTGTATATGAAATTATTTTTCATCTTATGTAAAATATTATGAGCAATATCAATGAAATGATTTTCTTTTCTCTAAGCATTCTTGGTCAAGTCAAAAGATGATGGAACTACCCCTATAATTTTCCATTTTTCAGAAAATCCATTCGGAAGCTTGTGTCTAATTTATTAGCAAGAGCTATACGCAGTTCCTTATAATGGCATTACCCACTTGTTTCGTTAAAATTTCAGTCGATAGAATTGCACCATGATACTAGGTTTATATTTTAAAAATGAGAGTAGAGTCATAGAGTCAATATGTCAATATTTTTTTAATAAAATCTAATCTAATTTCAATCAGTGGTTAACTAAATTCCTCATTTTTTCTTTCATATACATAATTAAAAGATAAAATTATCGAGAATTTGATTATCAGTTGAATATCGATTATCTAAGTCGAATGGTGTCATCCTGTTGGCTGAAATTTGAGCGGAAACAATAATCAGTAGTAATACCCCAAGACCTTCAAAATTATCGGATATTGGAGGGAAACTGGAGGGAAATATCCGATTAATTTTCAACGTCGAGGGGTATTTGGCCGGATTATTTTTTTCATTACAATTTCAAGCAATTAAATGTGTGGCATTTAAGGTCATATGGTATAAGTAAAACGGTTTTACACGGAGAGAAAAATACGTCATTATTTCGTCTGAGTCCATTCAAAAATTAGTGTGCTATTCACCAACCCATGGGACCAAACCGAGGTCAACAAAAAATTCGGATGTGGCGCCCCAATTTTTAAGGGAGTTTCACGGAAAAGTAGCGTAAGTTCTTCAAAAATTAGGGTGCCACATCTGAATTTTTCGGGTGGGTCATTCGAATTTTTTGTTGACCACGGTTTGGTCCCATGGGTTGGTGAATAGCACACTAATTTGTGGTAGAATTTTTTCTCAGTGTATTAGGAAATCTCAATTTTCAATTTTTACAACCAGACACTTTTGGGGTTTGAAACGCGTACAAATTGTTTATCAGATATTTTCATTGTTTAGCAACAAACAGGAAAATATTCGAAAAATATCCGAAGTAAAACCGTTTTACTTGTACCACGTGACGAGAAATGCCACCATTTGATTGATTGAAATTGGGATGAAAAAAAATAATCAGATCAATTTTATCTGCAACAAGATATTGCAAATTGACTCTTCCGTGATCTTTGACAATCACTAAGTTAAAAATGTACTTTTAGTGTGATTTGGATTATGTCTCAGAACAGTACCGAAGCAAATGCTGTCCACAGCTACTCCGGGTATAGGTCGCGATGTGACAATTGGATGAATCCGACTGGTAAATCCCAGAAGTGAATTTTCAAGTCCAGCAAGACGTGCGACACCATTTTGAATAACAATATTGCCAGAGTGCAAGTGTGTCACGGTTGGAAAACCACGGTCCTTCAGGAATATTAATGCTTCGAGAACTTGTCGTCCCATTTGTAGAATCTGGGGTGATGTCAGACCTTTTCCACGGGATGAATACTTGTGGCTCCAATCCGCATTCCAGCAGTTTCTTTCAATCTAAGAATTTCATTTTTCATTAGCTGAGAATAATAAATGTGAATTTTTTTACACAGAAAATTGTGTTTATCTATCGTTAAACCGTTATTCATCACAAAAACAAGAAAATAAAATAGAAAAAGTACAAAATGATATGTGGGTCTCTCCAGTGATGGTGGTGGTGCTAGAATAGTTGGACACTATCGAATCGTTTCGTTAGAAACCTAGAGGAGAGATAACCCTCCCAACTACCTCTTTTCCTTGGTTGCCATTTGCTCCTCATTTGTTTGCTCAACAGGGCCTCATCCCGATGATTGTCTGATGCTTAAGGTTGTTGTCGCGCGACAGTCTCTGTAAAAAGTTTATCCGCTGTAAAACGGGCCAGTTTAGAACACAATCTTTTAGCGGTATATAGTCTCACTTGATTGATTGCATTGTGCATGGATAGCTAAAGCATAACTATATATTTTCCATATTAACTATTTTCAATTATATGAATTTATGAATTTCCGATAATTATATTCCGTAAACCAAACGGTCAATCGATTTGATTTTTTTTTCTGTATTTCCTCCCACGATGTATATTCCACGTTTTCTTTTATTTCTGAAACTGTCGAGCCGTTGATTTTTAAAAAATTCTAATCGGCAAAACTCCATTTAAACACGTGTTAAATCACTCGAATTTCAAAAATTTATATCTCAAGTTCAAAACGGTCAATTGCAAACGGAAAAGGCTCATTTTGTTGCTAATTTTTCAAACTATTCACCATAAAATTTTTAACGAAAACTGTCGAAAAAAAATTCTACGCGACAACAACCTTAACCAGTAGAGACTTATGGAGTCTTCATCGAGTCTAAAGACTGTGAGAGTATCGCGTTTCGATTTCTCCATGTGGAAAATTCAGGGTACTGTTGCAACAATTTGTCAATTGCCTTCCGAATCTCCGAAACAGTAATTCCTACCATGGAGATGTGCTTTATTGTACTCTCCCGAAAATTATCTAGTGGTTTCTGCAATTCTTTATGATCACTTGAAGTGTCTAGATTGGGTGTCTGTAATTGTTCGTGCAGTTCACGTACTGTCACGTCAACCGCCTCGTCCTCCGATCTTGGACTATTTGAGCTGTCAGCTATATTGATTGGCTTATTTTAAAAAATGATTCGTCTGTCAAAAGAAATTAGTTCTGAAAATTACTCTCTAATTCTTTCGATGTACTTGCGTCTCAAGGTCGGATTGCTCGGTGGTAAGTTGAGGAAGCACACTAGCGTTTCTTCCATTACCGATTCTATAATCTCAATGGGAACCTTCGATTCCCTCAACTCAAAAGGACGTGGTACAAAAAAATATATGGCCAATAATGGGATCCTCAAAGGCTTGAATTTTCTTTAGAGATCTTTATATTTGGGCCTCGTTCACCTGTTCAGTCGCTGTATTACGTCTTCCTCCAGATAGGAGGTTAAGGGAAAAGCCAAAATGCTCGAAACTCAAACTCTAATTGTGAGAGAAATATTCTCTCGGGACAGGCTTAACTGTTCCGACCGGGAGGTAATCTTCGCTCAAGCTTGAGCCGGCACGCTTCAAATGCTAGGGTAGCCTACCCTCAGAGGGTAGGAATTTCTCCGAATTTTGACGGAAAATAGACTCGTCCTATTAAGGGACTTCCCCAATTTCACTTTTTCCATTACAATTCTTGTCATTCTCACAAACGTCAATAATTATACTAATTCACAACATTGACTGCCTCACCCGAAATTTGACAATAACTTCGACTATTAATTCCAAATAAATTCCAAACTAATTCTCTATAGATTTACATAATTTTTGCAAAAATTCAAATGATTTCCAAAATAGAAATTCACGAAGATCAATCGTCCGAGCTGGACTGAACCAATAGCGTGAGAGAACAGTGTAGAAAATTCATGTAAGATATTCATGGAAATTTTGACGATCTCGGAGCAATCTCCAGGTCGAATATGGAATATTCTTCTTCAGACTTCGCTAGTCATCGAACTGGTCGAGTGTTGGAGAGTACAACTCTCCAGGTCGCTTCTCAGACCAGGTTAACCTCAGTCAATGATCTCCAGCAGCTGGAGACGTTGGATCCTTGGTCGAAGATATCTTCTGCACCCATTCCATTAGCATGGGCTCGGAGAGGAATGCCAGATGCTGATTCTCCTCTACGGGACCATTTGGGCTTCTCCAGGTCTCAAAAAATCATGACAGCCTCTTCTCTTTCCAGTCGGTCTCGAAATCGTCGAGTCCACCATTACGATTATTTCAGAGTATTAACAATAAATTAGTGTTGGAACGAGAAGTAAACTTTCGTTCCTCCTACTCGCAAGTGAGAGGAGTCACCCTTGCCTCAAATTTGATTCCTTTTCCAAAAGAACTCTTAAGGCCCGGATGAATTATTTGGGAAAGATTATTTACTCCGAAATTTGGACTCCTAGTTACTCC